GGGGGCGGGGCGCACGGGGGCGCACGGGGGCGCACGGGTGGGGAGCAAGGGGAGCTCGCCCGGCCCGCCCGCGGGGACCCCTGGCAGCCGCTGTCCGCCTCTTGCAGGGTGGACCCGTACGGGTTCGAGCGGCCCGAAGACTTCGACTACGCCGCCTACGACGAGTTCCTCACCGCCTACCTGGCGGTGCTCACCCGGAGGGCCCTGAAGTGGTCGCGGCTGCTGCGGGCGGACGGCGGCCTGAGCAGGACCGCAACGGGTGAGTGAGGCGGCCCACGTCCCCAGCCGGGGCCCGACACCGTCGGCCCCGACCGCAGCCCCCAGGGCGGCTCGACACCGACGCCCCACGCCCAGAGCCGGGAGGTGGAGGCCCGCCCATGATCTTGGGGCGGTGCGCCGGGCGGGGTGTCAGGGACCTACACGGTCGCCTCCCGGGTCGCGCCCTCCCCGAGGGTGGGCAAAGTCCACCCTGCTTCGGAGCAACAGCTGAGCACGTGGGACACTCCCGGTGGGGGTGGAGGAGGACAGTCCCTTCCAAACGGGCTGCACTGGGGCTGGGGACAAATGGGTCTCCCACCTCGAGGAGGGGTGAGGCACGGCCCCAGCGCCCCAGAAGCTGAACCAGCCGCTTTCCCAGATCGGACTCCGAGGCTGTCTGAGCAGCGGGGTCTTACTTAGTTTCAGTCTGGTCTTTCTCCGACCAGAACCCAAGATCCTGCCTGCCTGTAGGACCTTTGTTTCCTTGCTGCTGAGTCCTGGAGCCTCCCTGGCCAGGACGGGACTTCTCTGCTTGGTAAAGAATCAGACAGGTGTGGGCCCTGGGCAGCATTACCAGCCAGCCCTGGTGAGGGCGTGGGCACAGCATGTCCCCAGTTGCTCCCGGAAAGTGGGAAAGTTAATGAGGACTCCTGGTGACCCAGATAGGACCGGTATGAGGGAGGGCGGGGCGGGGTTGTCGGAGGGAGCCACAGGAAGGGGCTCCAGCAGAGAGCAGGCTGAGATGGTGCCGCACATGCAATAGGTATAGCAGTGCTGGGGGGGCATCTGTGGAACTTGCTGTGTGCTTGGGGTGGGTGGCCCATGGGGCTCCCTCCTTGGCGGGCCTGTTGCTGCTGGGGGTGGGCGGGGCCCTGGGCTATGCTCAGCACTGGCCACAGGGCATCAAGTAGGTTGGCAGAGTCAGAAGGGGAAGGACCTCGAAGCAAACAGGCTACTGTATGCCCATCCCTGCTGCCCTGTGTGCTAACGTTTGCAGCAGGCATCTACTTTTATTTTTCTAGGATTCTTAAAATTTGACTGGCCTTCTAACTTTGGCATTGTATGAAATGTTACTTATCCATATGGTGAACATTTTAATCACACTAAAGGATGCAGAGTGAGGTTGTTTCTCTCCACCCCTGGGCCCCAGCCTCCTGTACAGATCACACACACGTGTGCTCACACACACACAGGCACACACACAGATGCACCTGCTCAGGGTCAGCTTGAACTGTCTAGCAGGTGACCTTCAGACAGGACGTGGTGTCTGTGGCTTTTCCTCTCAGGTGTCTAGTTACTTTTCTCATTGCTGAGACAAAACATACCTGATACCCAAAGTTAAGGGAGAAAAGGTTTATTTGGCTCACAGTTTGTAGAGGTTTGAGTCCACAGTTGGCTGGCTGCAAGACAGGGTGGAGTAGCAGATCAGCATCACAGAGGCAGGCAGAAGGTAGCAAAGCAAGCAAGAGTGTTTATAGCAGCTTCTTGCTCCCCCTTTTCTAGTCTGTCGAGGCTAGTGGGATTAGGATGGTGCTAAACCAGTCACTGGGCTGACGTAGTAGTCATGCACCCTTAATCCCAGTATCACACACTCTAGATCCAGCTACCTCTGAAAAAGCCCCACCTATGACTACATGAAGCTTCGGGGGGCCACGCAGACACAAACATAACATTCCACCCCTAACCCCACAAAGACTCATGCAGTCCATTTATGCAAAAGGCATTTAGTCCACCTCCAAGTTGCCACAGTTCTAACAGTGTCAGCATTGCTGAAAAGTCCAAAGTCTCCTCTGAGACATAAGGCAAACTCTTAGCTGTGACTCCCTGTACAACTGAAAAGAAAGTTAAACACTTCCAACATTCAGTGGCACAAGATAGACATTTCTATCCCAAAGTTACAAACGGGGATGGTAAGGAGTGGGAGTAAAGCAGGTCCAAGGTTGAGCAGGGCAAGCATTAAACCCCACAGTTCCACTTCCAGCATCACCGGCAATCTGTGGCAAGACGTGAGCCCAAAGGGCTTGGGTGGCTCCACCCCTATGGCACTGTGACTCCCACAGAAAAGTTCCTGCAACTGCTCTCTTGGGCTGGCTCTGCTTCCCCCTTGCAGTTTTTCTCAGATAATCCACATTCCTGGCTTCTTCAAACTTCTGGGGTCTCCTGTGCACCTTAGGCTTCACACCCACAGCTTCACACACTGCCCTCTCAGGCACACTGCCTGGTCTCCCAGGCCTTCTGAAACTGGGGCGGAAGCCTTCCTGACCCCACAACTCTTCCAGTCTGTGTGCACCCAAATCAGCACTACATAGATGAGGCCAAGTTCTGCTGCCAGCTGAAGCAGTAGCCAGGCTTCTTGCAGTCTTGGCAGCTGGGGTCGAGTGCCTGTGAACCAAATCCTGAGGAATGACTTCCGTTGGGTGCCACCATTCTGGAGCATGGTGTGCTGGGATTTTCTTCTCAAAGCAAAGCCTTTCACCTTTTCAACTGTGAGGCTGCAAAGGCTGGTGTTCTGTTGGGTCTTACGATGTTCCCAGGGCATCTTTTCTGTTGTTTTCCAAAATACTTTGCTTTTTCTTGCTCGTCTTTTAGCAACTAATTTCTCCTCTATGCCATCTTTTCAGGCCACAACTTTACTGGAGCTTCCTTTCTGGCCAAACTTCAGCATTTTGAATCATTCTGCTGGTCTCTTTTCTCTTGATTCTCAACATAAATCTAGCTAAAAGCCCCCAACAATAGCCATGCCACTGCCCCAACATTCAGCTGCCCTGCAATTTCTTCTGCCAGATTAATTAGTCTGCCACCCTTATCTCAGTCTCAGACAGTCTCTGGACATGAGTGAAATGCCGATAAACTTTCTGCTAAAGTGTAACACACATCATCTGGTGTCCAGCAGCCAGTGCAGCCCTTCCCAGAAACCACCTGAGCCCATTCTTTACCAGCAGGATTTCTGTCAGCCTGCTGATGTTCTGAGCTCTGACCAGAATCTCCGATACAGAACAGCCTAAGCTGTCCCAGCTGTGCTTCTTCAGCCGGCATCTCCAAACCTTTCCAAACCCTTCCACAAGCCAGTTCCAAAGACTCCTGAACCACATGGTCAGGCATAGTCACAGCAACAACCGCACTCTTAGTACCAAAAGCCTTCCTCTAAAGTGACTGGACAAATCTGTGCTCCCACCCAAAATGTGTGCACACTAAGTGTGCACTTCTGCTGTCATATTATGCTGTTGGTATTTTTATTTTAGGGATTCTTTTACTGGTCGACTATGCTATCTTCTGTGGATTTCCTGTGCAACTTTGTCAAAACAATTGATTTTTTGTGTAAGTCTACCTCTGGATTCTTTTCCGTGATATACTAGATTGTATTAATCTCCTTGTCTGGCATTTCACTAATAGCAGGTTTTTCACTGGAGGTTTATAATCAGCCTTAAAAATGAGATAACTTGCTGGGCATGGTGGTGCACCCCCGTAATCCCAGCACTCGGGAGGCTGAGGCAGGAGGATCATTGTGAGTTTGAGACCAGCCTGGGCTACAAAGTGAGCTCAAGGCCAGCCTGAACTGCATAGTGAGACCCTGTCTCAAAGACGAAAATAAATAAACAAAAAAGATAATTTAACCCCCTCAACATCATTTTCAAAACTGTTTTGTTTTTTGCTGTATGTAGAAAGTTTAAGATCTGCTCATCGTTTTCTGCAGTGTTTTTCCTGGGTCATGGGTAGGAGTGGTGCAGAGGGTCTGTAGATCAGTTTGGAAAGAACTGATCTTAATGTTGAGTCTTCAGTTTGTGAACATGGTGTAGTTCTGCCCTTGAGTAGGTCGTAAGTTTCTTTGGCAGTGTTCAACATTCCAATCCTGCTTTGTTTGATTTATACCTTTCCTCTTCTATTCTTTTGGTATTGCTGTAAGTTGGGCCTGACCCTCCCCTTGCTGTTCTGCAGAAAAGGACTGGCACGTAGTGTTTCTGGCTAGTTGCCCTTGGAGGGCTTGTGAGGCCTGCAGCCAGAGGCCTTCAGTGTCAGCATCCTGGGTCAGGGGACATGGAGGGATGGCCATCTGAATTAGTAGCATCTGTACCAGAACTGTATGGCTGACACTAAGCTCATGCCCTAAGGTCACGCTGCAGAGCAGGTAGACCAAGGGTGCCACGTGGTTCCAGAGACACGGGATCTCTAGAAAGCTGCAGGGAGGATTCCAGGGCTGTTTGTGGCTCTTGGTGGGAGGTGCTGGTGTCTGTCCTTCCCTGCCCTGGGCCTTCCTGGTTGTCCTACTTGGTCCTCCCATGAGGGCCCTCAGGTTCCCCTCTTGGAGTGGCAGGCCCCGGGGACTGTGGACCTAAGGTGTTCTGGACTAGATCACCATCTTGTGGGTCCCCTGGGACTTGGAGTAGCAAGTGCTCAGGTTCACTGGTGCTTTCCTGAGCAGGACCTGTGTGATCATTCTTATAATTTCTTGTGTGTTAAATACAACTCAGATTTTTGTTTTTGTGTGTCAGCTTGTGGAATTGGTGCCATTGATGGAACTTTTATTTATTTTTCTTGTTGTTTGATCACCTTTGAAGGGAAGTGGTTGAGTTTGGCCCATGGTCTGTGTTTGGCTGACCCTGTGGCTTTGTGCCCTGGTGCACCCCTGAGAGAGACCCTGGCCTCAGGGCCAGGAAACATACAGAGAGGATGAGGAGGGGCCTAGACCTACAGTCCTCCCCAAGGCAATGCCGACCCCGTCTGCCTCCAGGCCCTACCTAATGGCTGGTCCTGGGGCCAAACCTTCAGCCACTGGCCTAGTAGACATGCAACATTTGAACTCCAGCACTTCCAAAGTACAGCTGAAAATAATGGTATTTAGAATGAAATCCCCAAAGGGAACACTGGCTTTGGAAATTAGCTGTTTTGCTGGCAGCAGTCATGAAGGGCCCGGGGCACACCCAGGTGGCCCCTGTGAGTGAGCTTCGCGTGGAGCTCCTGCCTGGGAGGAGCAGGAGCCCAGGCACATGTTGCGGTGGAGAGGGCAGCTCTGGGGTTTGGTTTCTGGTCCTGTTTCTGTGGTCATGAGAACATTTCTAATCCCTTCCCCCCACAAGACAGAGGGGTCGCAGTAGGCAGCCCAGGGACACCTGCCACAGAGTCCCCGCCGATTCACGCTGCCTGTACCTCGTCTCGGCCGGCTGCCTGCAGGTTCTGCCACCCCTACCTTGGCCCCACCATGCCCCCCAGGCCAGGCCACGGAACATCCCTGCCCATCCCGCACCCCACAGAGCAGCTCCTCTTGTTTTTGTGCCTGGTGTTGGGTGTAACCAGGGCCTTGTGTCTGCTGTGGGCCCCTCCCCAGCTGGGCCGCGTGTCCCGAGGGGGCTGGAGGCGGTGTGGGTGGTGGGAGAGTCCAGCGGGAGCCAGCTTGCCCCTCTGGGCGGGCCGTGGAGCAGTGTGCGAGCACTTAAGTGTCTGCCACATGTGTGTCATGGAGGGCAAGTGTCTGTGGAGGATGTTAGAGCATGGGTGCCGGTTTGGGTGGAGGTGTTCGAAGCGTTGGATGCTTTTCAGGTTTGAGCCAGGAAGACTGGTGCCCACAGAAGGTCTGAGAGTGCGGGTGTGCATAGTGCGCTGGACCCTTGGGGCTGAGCTCAGTCTGCTGTCCTCTTGGTTGGTTCCAGTGAAGCGCTATGTCCGGAAAGGAATCCCGCTGGAGCACCGGGCGCGAGTGTGGCTGGCCGTGAGTGGAGCGCAGGCCCGGATGGAGCAGAACCCCAGCTACTACCAGCAACTGCTGCAGGGAGAGGGAAAGCCCGACCTGGAGGAAGCCATCAGGACAGGTGAGCAGCTGGCGTGCAGGGGGCAGACCAGGCACAGAGGTGGGAAGCCACCCGTGGCCAAGGGAATTCAGGAAGGAAGTTGAATCAGGATACAAGCCTGTAATCCCTGCATTCCAGCTGAGGCAGGAGGATGGCAAGTTTGAACCTAGCTTGGACAGCTTAGCAATACCCTGTCTCAAAAGATAAAAAGTTTTTTAAAGGCTGGGGATATAGCTCAGCGCAGAGGCCTTGCATTCCACCCCCAGTGCTGCACAAAAACAAAGAACAACAGCTAACTTTAGTTGAAAATTACATTTTGGGAGAAAAACTAAAACTGAGGTGTTCACAGGGGAGACTGTTTTTATTTAATCCATTTGGCAGATATTCGAGTGCCTGTAGCTCTCCAGAAAATGAATAACACAGGCGTGCCCCGGGATTCTCAGAAGAGTGCAGTCGGTGGTGGCCCGGGACCCACGCTGGTGCAGTGGCCTGGCTGTCACTCCACGCGGGGGACCTGCCAGGCACATCTCTGTCCTTGCTGTCCTCTATTACCACGGGCCGGGAGCTGCTGGCTGTAAAGTACTAAACCCGGTCTCGCCTCCACTGAATGTTAGGTGTCCCTGCCCAAAGACACCAGGCTGTTTGTCCCTTTGTCCCTGGAGGGCACTGAGGAGCCTCACTCCTCGGCTGTCCACAGGGTCCTGCTGTGAAGTGGCTGCTCAGGGCTCTGTGTCCAGCTCTGTCAGGCCTCTGCAGTGTGGCACAGCCCCGTCTCAGTGCTGCCTGTCCTCTGAGGGGCCCCGCCCTGCCTGCCCTCCTGACCATGGCCTGGCATCCAGAAGCCTCCTGGGGCTCTGTGCATAGTTCCCAGACGTCATCCTGAGTCTGGCCAGGGGTCGCTCTGCCACCCCTGACTCCAGGGGAGAGGACACTGGGGATCCTCAGCTCCTGTCCCCCGCCCCCGGCTGATCCATGCAGAGGCTCGGCCACATGGAGCAAAGGTCAGCTGGGCCTTGCTTGGGGTGACTCAAGAAGGCAGAGCTGGTGGTGCTGCTCAGTGTGAGCACCCATGTAGAATGCACAAGGTCCTGGGTACCATCCCCAGCAGCACAAAAATAAAGTAAGAAAGTTATTTTTGCTGGGCGTGGGGTGCCTGCCTATAATCCCAGTACTGAGGAGGCTGAGGCAGGAGGATCACTCTGAGTTCAAGGCCAACCGGAGCTACATAGCAAGACCCTGTCACAGAACAGAACAGAACAGGGGCAGACGTGTGGGCCACTGAGCCCAAATGGTGATTACTGGTGATCTTCATGCAGACCTGAATCGAACTTTCCCAGACAACGTGAGGTTCCGGAAGACAGCCCAGCCCTGCTTGCAGAAGGCCCTGTTCAATGTGCTGCTGGCCTATGGGCTCCACAACCAGGGCGTGGGCTACTGCCAGGTGAGCCCAGCCCAGATTTGCACTGGCCGGCGGGGGGGGCACAGTGGGCAGGGAGTATGGTTGGCACCACAGGTGCAGGTGCGGGGCCCCCTCTGCTAGCCTTGAGTTGGGACCTCCAGTGGCTGCGCCCGTGTCTGAGATGCTGGGATGCCTGGCATCAGGTGGCAGAGGGGAGGTTGCAAGCTAGGAGTGGGCTGTGTGCTGTCACACGATGTCCTTGGGAGCGAGCGTGAGGGACACTGAGGCGTGACCGAAGCAGGAAGAGCCCTGAAGGGCGTTGGCAGAGGGCCGAGGGGTCCCAGAGGCTCAGCCTGTCCCAGTACTGAATGCTGCCTGCTCTGCCCCTGGACATCCCCTGCGCAGAATAGGGCCGCATCCTCAGCCTCAGCACCAGGGTGCCTCCCTCTGTCCCGGAACAAGAACGTGGCCTTAGGAGTGGAGACAGAATGTCTTTTACAGCCTCATCCTTGCTGTTCTTTGGGGGTCTTAAAAATAGCGCAGTTGGGGCTGGGGATTTAGCTCAGCGGCAAAAGCGCCTGCCTGGCAAGCGCAAGGTTGTGAGTTCGGTTCCCGGTACCGGAGGGGGGGAAAAAAAAAATAGCACAGTTGTGTTTCTTTTTTTCAGTTTAACATTTTTACCTGTATATGTTTGCAACACTTCATGAATATGTTCCTCTTGGGTCCTTGTGTATCTTGATCCTTTTTATTTTCTCTCCTCACCCTTCTGCCTTCTGTGCACAATTTTATTTATTTTATTTTATTACTTTTAAGACAGGGTCTCATTATGTAACCCAGGCTGGCCTCAAATTTGCAGCCTCAGTCTCCTGAGTGCTGGAATTACAGGTATACACCACACACCTGGCTCAGGATTGTAAATTTCAGCATTCCACCAGAGCTCACCTGTTCTGGGATACACGCACCAACACGCATGCACACGCATACGCAGGCTGCCGTAACTAGAGCCACAGATGGGTGGCTCAGGCCGCAGAACTCCAAAGACGGTGGCTCTGTCTCGGCCCCTCCATTTCTCCTGTGGCTGCCACTGTCCCAGTCATTCCCCCAGTTGCTCCCCAGCTTGCTGCCCCACCTCTGCCTCTGCCTCCATGTAGGTGCTTTCTGCCAGGTGTCTGCGCCCACTGCCCTTTTCCTCAGGTCCCTGTCCTCCTGGGTAGGGCCACCTTCCTTGGACTGTGACACCTGCTGAGGCCTGGCTCCAGGCCCTGCCCTGTGGTGCAGGTGGGGATCTCAGCAGAAGCCTGGGCTTTGGGCGCACCTTCACACCCAGAGAGACATGGAGAGCTCATGTAACTGTGGTCCCTGAGATGACTGCGTGTGCCCCGTGTCACAGCCCCTGGGGCCCACCGGGTCTCCGTCCCACCAGCCTGTTGCTAAGTTGTGTTTGTGGGGTTTGCTTCTGGGGTGGCATGGGTGGTTGGGTGTGGCAGTGGTGTGGGCAGTGTGCTGACATCACGCTATGCCCCTGGACACCCTCACATCTGCAGCCTCGGTGCCAGCCCCCCTCTGCAGCCTCTGCTGGGTGGCAGAGGCTGGGTTTCCCTTACTACTAGAGAAATACATGTCTGCCGTGGACACATGGATGCACACGGAGAACAGGAGCAGTGTTAAACCCATCCCTGGAGTGGCGCTGAGTCACACCCTCAGCTACCCAGGCTGTGCCCCTGGGCTAAGAGGGCCACTCACTGGGCTTTGCTGATGATGCCTGCCGTTTGGAAAGTGTGCACTGGACATTTCCCGAAAGGGTCTCGATCACAAGCACCCCAGCATCCACCATGAGGCCAAGACCCTCAGTGTTTTATAAATGTTGTCCCTGCTGTCCTCGTGTTTTGGGAATGGTGGTAGTTGCAGCCCCTCCAAGGTGGTCTTTGATTTTCTATTCCAGGTGGCACTCAGGGTGAGATGTTTACTTTTTCTTCTTTCTTAATGAATTAGTTAATTTATTTTTTGAGACAGGGTCTCACTATATAGTTCAGGCTAGTTCAGGCTAGTTCATCCAAGCTAACATCAAACTCTGAGGCCCCTTCTGCCTCAGCCTCCTGAGTGCAGGGCTTACAGATGTGTACCATCATGGCCGACCCCTCCTCATTCCTTTTGACTTAGGTTATCTAAACACATGGCCTGGCCAACTCCTAGTGTCTCTCAAGTGCTACCTCAAGACTGTGTGAGGCCTGCTAATTTAGGGGAGCAGGAATATCAGAGTGGCTGAGCAGTCACAGGACTGTGTGAGGTGCATTTAACCTGTTTGGGGTGGGGCTGTGATTCTCACTGCTGGGTGGCCTGAACTGCCAGTGGTCCATGCATGACTGTCCTGTCAGGGGTTTTAAAATTGATTAGTAAGTGCAGCAGGGAGCGCCGGCCTTTGGGCTGGACCCTAGCAGCACAGGCACCCGGGAGGCAGGCAGCTGGTGCCTGGGAAGCCACGCGGCCCTCAGGCCAGCCACTGCTGTGTGGCCAAGAACTATCATGGCACAGAGAAGCAATGACACAATTGGCCCACCATGCACTGGTTGCAGAGGCCTGCCTGGGGACATGCGTGAATCATCCTGACACGGAGAAACGCCTGGGAATACATGCCACACAACGGGGTTACTCTTGCCCCTGCCGTTGAGAACTAGAAAGGTCCAGAGTCAGTGGAGGAGCAGCTGCTGAACAAGGACTCAGTGAACACGACAATATAGACTACGCCTGATGACTCAGAGGTCTAGATGACTGGGGTCACAAGAGCCGTTCGGAGGCTGGAAACCAGGAGGACCTTGTGCAACACCTGGGGAGACCTCCTGGAAGCCATTCTTCCCCTGACAGTACAGGCTGCGGTGGAGGAATGCATTGAGCTCCAGAAAGGTCTGCACCGAGATTCCTGCTGCCTGTGTTGACAGTTAGGGAGAGGACACTAAGTGGTTGCGGGGTCCCAATGCGCTGGGAGGCTGGAGAGAAAAACCTACAAAAAATGGCTTTTGCTCCAGATGGCTCACTTGAGATGTTAGTAAGAATTGCCTCCTCAGTATTCTATAGCTGTGATGAGGAGGCCAAGGAGAGAAAACAAAGAGACCGAGAAAAAGCAGCTGCTCTTGCTGCAGCACTAAGAGAAACAGACCCTAAGTCATTCCTGGGGCCCCAAGAAGAACTCGACGACTGCATTCATCTGCTACCACTGTTAAAAGCCAGGCCACCTCAAGAGGAACTGCCCTAAGACGCCCCCTGGGCCATGCCCTGCATGCAAAGGTGACCACTGGAGATGGGTCTGCCCTCTGAAGTGGAGGCCCAGAGCTCAGACCCATCCTACCAGTTAGTCAAACAGGAAAGAGGGGGCCCAGGGCATACTCTGCCTTCTCCCCCTGGCCAGACTGTCATCTTCATGGAGGAGCCGTGGGTAATCATGCCTATGGAGGAAAAAGAAAACAGCCTGTTGCTAGACACAGGTGCAAGTCTCTCAGTCCTTTTCAGTCCTGGCCTTCCTTCCAGCCGTCACACCTCAGTGAAAGGAGTTACTGGTGAGGAGGTAATACACTATTTTTTACAACCCTTAGGCTGTAACTACTTATTAGATCCTTCTTGCATATCTCTGTCTTCCTGAGAAACCACTTTGAAGATACCACCACGTATTACAGAAGCCATTGATATTTTCCTACTAATCTGTCCATAGCTCTGTAATGTTTGTATTGTTCCTATGCTATTTCTTAAATGGATGTATGTTTACTACTATGTGTTTCCTACAACAACCATTGAAAATAGTCGATGATTATTCATTGGTCACTCATGTGTAGCTCTGTTTATTTTCTTTAGAAACCACTTTGAAGATACCAAAGTATAGTACAACAACCATTGATAATAACCTACCACTTTTGTCTGTAGCTCACTATTTGTCTGTTTTCCTGAGAAACTGTCTTGTAGATAACATTATGTAAAATAAGAACCACTGATAATTTCCTACCACTTTGTCTGTAATTCAGTAAGCCCCCCATTACTATGTTATCCTTCTTTTATTCTTTAAAATAATTTAAAAAAATAAAATAAAATTAATTAGTAAAAAGATGGATAAAAGCGATGAGACCAGTTTGTACCCCCAGTGGTATCGAGCGCCTGATGGGACAGTAGCTCATGGACCACCGTGGTTGAGCCAGTGGGAACAGGTTAAAACTCAGTGTGAATTTTGTTTTTTGTTTTTCTGATTTCAGGGAATGAATTTCATAGCAGGATATCTCATCCTTATCACAAAGAGTGAAGAGGAATCTTTCTGGCTCTTAGACGCTCTTATTGGACGAATCCTGCCTGGTATGTGGACCAGCACACGCACCTGCCCCGCCCCCTTTGTGGTGATGGAGGTAACTGGCCAGCCAGGCAGGGTGGGGTGGAAACACAGTGGCCTTGTGTGGCAGTTGAGGTCTTTCTCCACTTGAGCTAAGAAAAGCAGATGGTCCAAGCGGGTGGCCTGGCCTGGGCAGCCATCATCTCTGGATGCTGCAGGTTTCTGTGGCCTCTGCTCAGGGTGTGGGTTCGACTGTCTGTCCTGCAGGGCCCTTGCCCACCCCATGGGAATGTGGCCCAGGAAGGAACCTTCTTGGGGTCTGTGGTGGTCCCACATCCCAAGGGGCTCGTATGGCTTCCCGGAAATTTGTTCCTGAATTTGTGAGCATGGTCAGTCCTGTAATCATCACTTGCTAGAGCTTTTGGGGTGAGTCCTTTTGGGGTCTTCCCCCTTTCTCGGTTCCAAGGAAGAATCGCTGCCAGTGTTAGCAGAGTTCAGTGTAGATGAGGACCATAGTGTCAGTGTCGACTACAGCATGGACGTGGACCAGTGTGGGCATCAGCTGCACTGTAGGTGTGGACTACACGCAGCCGAGGGATGGACTACAGTGTAGACAAGGACCAAGTAGAGTCCCTCTCCATACAGAAGCCGAGAGTCTGGCCACAGAGCTGGGAAAAGCCAGCAGCGCCGGCCACACCAACGCCATGCTGCGACCCAGTTCCGCCCTCAGCAGCTGTGCCACATGTGGAGCCACCCTGCAGGTGAGGGGACCGTGACGAGGGGCGAGTCCGTGCAGGCACCGAGGGCTGTGCTGGCCCACAGCTCTGACCTCTGCTGAGACAGGAGCCCGGTGTGGAAGTGAGTGCCGCAGTGGGGCCACCGTCAGACCCAACGGCTGGGACGTGAGGACGTGGTGCCCAGATGCAGAGCCAGGACCAGTGGCGACACCGTCACAGCAGCATGGGGAGCACAGCCCGGCACAGCAGGAGGGGCTGGCTGGGGCAGAAGCTGTGAGGCATCCTGGCTGCCCCGGATCACCATGGACGTCGGTTCCGTGCTGAGCTCTGCCCATCAGGCTGCTGTCTCCTCGCTCTGCCCTGCGTCTTGGATGCACAGTGTCACACCGTGGTCCCCGTGGAAGACAGACACAGCAGCACCACCCAGAGCATGGAGAGAGCGTGGGGTGGAAAGGAAAGAGTGAGGGGCCGTCCCTTCATTCTGTATCAGCAGCTAGAGTCATTGGAGCCAAGTTGCAATTCAAACAGGTCCCAATTTAAAAGCAAAAGTAAGTATCAAAAATAAAGCACAAGTCAGGACTGGTGCGCATCTGTAATCCCAGCCGCTCAGAAGGCTGAGGCAGGAAGATTGCAAGTTGGAGGCCAGACTGGGCAACTCGGTGAGACCCTGTTTCAAAAAAAGGCCTGAAGGTGTAGCTCAGCACTTGCTTAGCATGGGCAAGGCCCTGGGTTTTATTTCCAGCACCACATAAAAATTTTAAATAAAGCTTGCAGAAGACAGAGGTAAATGGCTCATTAGGCTGCGTTGGGAGGCAGCGTATCCTGAGGTCCTGCCACTCTTCTCTCGGTGAACCCAGAGTTTAGATCCTGAATAAAAGGCACCTCAGCAGCCTGAGTCGAGGTGCTCTAGAGTGCTGTGTGGACCCAGAGCCGCTTCACCCCAGGATGCCCAGGGCTCAGCCACACGCAGACACTTCAGTGGAGTGGTGCTCAGCTGCAGAAAGAGAGAGCATGGAACGGGACTCAGAGGCCAGAAACTAGCTGTGGCACTATCCCTGGGAGATCTGCCAGCCAACAGGGGAAAGCATGAGCTCTGCTGCCCGCAGTGACCTCTGGCCTCCTCCAGCACAGAAGAAAGCTCAGCCAGACCCTTGTCTGGCTCCAGGTGGACTCAGGACTCCACTGGAGCATGGCAATGCCTTGGAACCGGAAGAAAAGGCACAGACGTGCCTGGGGTTGAAACGGCTCCAAAGAGTGGAAGATGCAGGTAACGCTGTGTGTGGCAAGTTTATGTGTTAAAGGACGCCATAAGCAGAGCAAGATGAGCTGGCTTGGAGAAGGTGTCTGATCCCCAGTTGACAGAGGATCAGCTTCTGGGCCATGGAAAGAGCCCTGGAAAGTCACAGAACAGGGCGTGGCATGCAGAGCATTGGAGGGAGGAGAACAAGCTCCACAGGAGCCTCTCAGAGCGGGGCCAGGACAGGGACTGGGCGGCCCACATGCTGGTGAGAAGGTGACAGCACCTGTGCAGGAAGAGGCGCGGTCTTACCTGGCTGCGTGTGGGTTGGCCTTGAGCACAGCCACTGCCAGCCAGTGCTCTGGGCGGTTGGAACTGGCTGTGTCATCACGGGTGGCTGGACACAGTGCCAGTGCACTCCATGGAGGAGGTTGCCCCAGTGGTCAGACTGAGGGGTGGCTCCAAGGTGCCCACACGGGCCAGCTGGGGATGTCACTTTCACCTCAGAGGCCACTTCTCGGTGTCCCCTAGAGTGGAGGGGCTGTGTCACATAGGACCTGCTGCTCAAGGCAGAAGATCCGGCCTTCCTAGGAGCCAGCCAGGGCGATGCTGCCCCGCTGGAGGAAGTGCCTGAGGGACAGTGGCTGTGAGGAGCTGGAGGAGCTGGCATTGCCTGGAGAAGTGCAGGGCAGGTGGCTCACTGCTGGGCCCACACTGGCCTGAGGACCAGAGGTGGGTGCAGCTTGCAGCCCAGGGAGGCTCAGGGCTCTGCAAGGCATGCGCGGATCTTGGCTGTACGCTGCCCTTCTGTGGGCTTCCTGGTGGCTGTGCCCCATCCTGCCAGCCACACTCAGGGCCGTGGGGGTTGTCCTGGTGATGCCAGCTGCTCCCCCCCAGCAGCAGTGCCTCAAGGAGCAGACCCCAGGACTGCCCAAGTGGCAGCTGGTACCCCTCGCCCTGCCCATGCCCAGCTCCCGGGCAGCCTCCCTCTCAGAGGGAAGTCTGGGGCTTGACCCACCCCCGCCACGCACATTTTATTTGTTTCAGTTAAGTTTTGCAATACTTATTTTGCCTTAAAAAATCAGTACTGAAAGTGATCATTACTAAATAGGTTTAGGAATCAGCAAAATATACAGACATTTATTTGTTTGTTTCTTGAGACAGGGTCTCACTATGTAGTTCAGGCTGGCCTTGCACTCACAAAGTAGCGCAAGCTGTCCTCAAACTCTCAGTGATCCTCCTACTGCAGCCTCCCCAGTGATGGGATGACAGGTGCCCCACTACACCTGCCTAAATGTACAGAAGCTTAAAGAAAAAAATGAAAAATTTCATTCTGTTCGGAGATGAAGTCTTTGTTGCCCAGGCTGGATGTGAACTCCTTAGAGTGGATGCCCCATGCTGGCTGGCTCTTTAACAGTTGGTTTATTTTTATTGCAGTCTGATGCACTGTTTAAATTCTCTTGATGGGGAATGAAAAGCTCGTGTAGACCCCAGCGTCCACAGGACCCCCCACTGAAAATGACCCAGGGCCCCTGTCCACGGGTCCCATCTGCCCGGGTGCTGAGGCAGGACAGACTGGTTGCTGTTCCTTCCCAGGACACCATGGCACAGCTGCTTCTAGTGGGGCCAGGAAGGGCCCAGCAGTGAGCATCGCGATGAGCTGAGATCCTCGGCCACGCTGCCGCTGCCGCTGCCATGGGGCCGCAGCCCAGTTCTGTCTGCCTCTCACCTTCCTGGGCTGCCCTGTGCCCCGGGACTGCGCTAGCATGCAGTTTTGTGTTGCAGTTCTGGGCACACAGCTCAGCTGTCTGTGGTGCTGGTGCCAGGAAGGGGCGACCTCCCTCTCGGGGACAGAGCCGGGAGGCATCTCTGGAGGAGGGGGTGCTGCTCTGTTTTGGAGCTTGTCCTGCATCTGCTGATCCTTGGTGGCCTCCAACTCACAGTCAGTCATGGCCAGAGAGAGCGGCATGCCTGGCCCTTGCAGGGGACACACCAGGGAATCGAGTCCCCAGTCTGCCCTGGGGTAGGGGACAGGAAAATGGAAAGGCACAGAACCTGCTGGCACCCCATGCCCTGGTGGGCACTGGCTCCCTCGCAGTGGGCAGAGCTGGTGTGGGACCCAGCCCACAGGTCAGTCTTCTTGGGCTCCTCCTGGTCACAGTTCCAGCGCCCGCTCACTGATGGGGTCATGGGATGGTACCCATGTCCTCGGCCCTCAGTCACGGGCAGGAGACTCGGTGGAGTGGCCACAGGGTCCAGTGTGGGGCTTGGGGCACTGCCAGTGTCCGAGCCTGCCTGGTTCCCTGGCCCCAGTGTAGACAGCTCTGGAACTGGGTGGGGGCAGTGCTCTGCCACCCACTTTGTGGAGTTCAAGCCCTGTGTGCTGCCGGGATTGTGGTGGTCTGTTCTTTTAGGGTCACTGCGGGGCAGGCTCAGCCTCCATGGAGCTTGTGACAAAGAGTGATGCCTCCTGCCCACCCTGCCCCACCTCAGCAGGTCTTCTGGGCACACTAGAGACCTTTGGTCTGCTCCTGAAAGCTGCAGGTGGAGAGCTGGTGTGTGTGTGTGTGTGAGTGCTGGGCTGTGTGACAGGTCTGGAGGCTGAGGGCAGAGGTGCTTGCAGCAGTGTTTGTGGAGACAGCTGCTGACCCTCTGTGGCTGTCCCATGTGTGGCCTCAGACCCTGAGGACCATGAGGACCTAGGGCCAAGTCCCCTGCCTTGTCAGCAGTAGCAAGGGAGCACGCAGGTGGGGTGAGGATGCTGTGGGCGCCCCAGGAGCAGAGGCACACCAGGGAGGCATGGGAAGAGGACAGCGCCCCAGCCCCAGCCCTGAGCTCAGGGTGTTTAACACCTCTATTTTTGGAAGCGTCTAAGCCTCTCTGTCACAGGGCCAAGGTCAGACTGTGCGGTTCTGCAAACCCCTTGCTGCTCAAGCTCAGCCACGGCTATCCAAGGTGCCACTCGGAGAGCTGGGCACCCTGGGCTCTGCACCTCCCAGCAGCACCAGGAATGGGGATGGGGTGTCCTCAGTTATATGGGAAGCAAGGGAGACAGATGCAGTGAGGCTGTAAAAGGGGACAGCAGCTTTAATCTCAGGGGCTTTGGTTTTGCTTTTGTGATACTAGGGATGGAACCCAGAGCCTCATGCATGCTGGGCAAGTGCTCACCACCGAGCCATCCACCCCACCCCCGGCCTTTGTATTTTTTGTTTGGAGATGGTCTCACCAAGTTGCCCAGGCTGGCCTTGGCAAAACTGAGTCTGGGAAAAGAATGACCCCCAAGGAAGTCAGGAGGCCGTTTACAGCTTATTTTATACCGGTGGTCCTGGCTTGTATAACTTCCAACAAGAGCCGGGCAGCGGGTGTCTGTGAGCCAGCATTTTCAAATGAAGCAGAAGCAGGAGTTACAAAGGCAGGACAGGACAGCCTGGCAGTTCTTCTGATTAGCTAGCAGGGTGAGATCATTGGTTACTGGGCCAGATTAATGACCATCAGTTACAAGACTAGATTAATGACCACATAGCTTGGTACAATCAAGCATCCTGAATGTTCGGTTACACTCTCGTGGTTACAGGGGTCAGGAAAGCAGTGACAGAGCTGAGCAACTTCACATAGAACAGTGTTTTAAGGAGAACAATCTTTCCTTGTACACTTTTTCCCTTTCACTCCTGCTTCAGCCTCCTGAGTCCTGAGGGTTCCAGGCAGGCACCATCAACCTGGTAGAGTCCACTGTTAGCATAAATCAAGCATTAAAAATTATTATAACACATCCCATTAACAATGTAAAACTAAAGAAGCCCACAGATCTTCTGCTAAGACAAATGCTTCTTCAAACGAAAGCAGGAAGAGTGGTGGGAAGTGTTGGTCTGAGCATGAGTTTTGTTTCTGTTGTGAGGACGCTGCACAACGTTGGTGCCCTAAGGCTCCCAAGCACAGCCTGGGAGTGCGTGGAGTCCACACCCGGGCAGCCGCCACCTCACGCCCTCCCCGCACCAGCCCTCACATGAGTCTGCACCCCAGGGGCCACTCAGAAACGCTCACAGTCTTCCCCTCTCCAGCTCCTGCTTCTGTTAATGCATATCTAGAGCACACAGTGATCACCATCCTTGGGGGTGTGGGTGTGTGTGGACAATACAGCTTCAAATGGAGCTTCCCATGCCTTCTCATCCCTTGATCCCAGTCCCATCGGAGAAAGATCCAGCTCCCTGTTTTCTGTTATCCTTTACTCTGCTCCTTATTTGTGTGTCTGATTTGTTTCTCTTAGCATTATGATCTTCAGGTGCACCCACTTTCCTACAGAGGACCCAAGTTCATGCTTCTTTATGGCAGGGTAGTACTCCACTGTGTATAAATACATTTTCTTTATCCATTCATCTGTTGATGGACATACAGCCTATTTCCAAGGTTTAGCTATTACGAACTGTGCTACTGTAAACATGGGCATGCACTTATCAATGTAATGTGATGTCTTTTAATTCTTTCAGGAAGATACCTAGGAGTGGGATAGCTGGTTGGAATAGAATTTTTAGCATTAGGTTTTTGAGGAATCTCCACACTAATTTCCACAGTGGTTTTACCAATTTATATTCACATCAACAATGTAGGAATGCTCCTCCCCCCCGCCTCGCTAGCATTTGTTATTATTATTTAATTTGATGATGGCTGTTCTTTCTGGGGTAGGTAGAATCTCATCGTTAATTTGCATTTCTCTAATAGCCAGCAGTGTTGAACATTTTAAAACATATTTATTGGCCATTTGTTGTCTGTTCACCTCTCCGGTCCACCTATGGATGGGCTGTTTTTTGGGGGGTCCTCACTGTTTGAGTTCTTCATGTATTCTAGATGTTGGTCCTGTGTCTAAGGAGTAGCTGGCAGACATTTTTCCCCCGTTCTGTAGGTTGTCTGTCCACTCTGGTAGTGGTTTCCTTTGCTGCGCAGAAGCTTCTCGATGTGATCCCATTTGTTGGTTCTAGATGTGATCTCTTGTGCAACTGGAGTTCTGTTCAGAGAGTCCTTGCTTATGCCTGTGACTTCCAGAGTTGCACCCGTTTTGTCTTGCAGCAGATTCAGTGTTTCTCCATGTGGTAACATGGAGATCTTTGATCCATTTTGATTCACTTGTCTCTGCGTGACCAGCTTGTTTGACTGAATATAGCGTCCTCTGGACCTGCCTGTGCTGTGGCCTGGGTCAGGGCTTCATTCTAAGGCTGGACAGTGTCCTGCCCAGGGACAGAGGGCATCTGTTTACCCACATGTCTCTGCGGGGCACCTGTTAGCTGTTGTGAATAGCACTGCTGGGAACGTGGGTGTGCAGAGGTCTGCAGCTGACAAGGGGTCTGTGTGGCCAGCGTCTGGCCCCTGCCTCTGGTGTCTGGGGTATCCCGGGAGGCCTTGCTCCGGGAGTCCAGTTCCCAGGCGCCAAGTCTGTACCCTGTCCTCTTCTTCTGGGAGGGAGCCTGTGGCCTTCTCCTGGCACAGTGGGGCACAGGCTGCTGGGCTGGGTGGCGTGTGCAGTGTGTGGTGTGAGCTCCTGGCATCACCCTGCCTCCTCGCTTGGCAGATTACTACAGCCCAGCCATGCTGGGGCTCAAGATAGACCAGGAAGTCCTCGCAGAGCTGGTGAGGATGAAGCTGCCGGCGGTGGCGGCCCTGCTGGATGGGCATGGTGTGCTGTGGACCTTGGTGGTATCCCGCTGGTTCATCTGCCTGTTTGTGGACATCCTGCCCGTGGAGGTGAGCGTGAGGGCGACCCCTGGCGTGACATGGGCCACTGAGGAGGTGACTGGGTCTCTATCCTGCAGACTGTGCTTCGCATCTGGGACTGTTTGTTCAATGAAGGCTCCAAGATCATCTTCCGGGTGGCCCTGACCCTGATTAAGCAACACCAGGCCTTCATCCTGGAGGCTGCCAGTGTGCCTGACATTTGTGACAAGTTCAAGCAGATTACCAGCGGGAGCTTTGTGATGGAGTGCCATACGTTCATGCAGGTGCGTGCAGGGGTGCTCCTGCCCACAGAGGGCTCGTGCCGTAGCCATCGTCTGCGTGGAGTCTAGGGTCCTGTCCCTCCTTTCCTGTTTGCAAAGCAGCAGGGTCCCTGCCCAAGGCCGCCTGACTTCTTGGAGGGCCAGGTCGCAAGTGTGGGGGAAGAGCGTGGCCCTGCCTTGCCATCCCTGTTTCCACAGCGCCAGGTGTGTGTGGTGCCGTGTCCACGAGGCTCCGCCTCACAGGGTCACAGGGCTTCCAGCCATCGTCGCCAGCTGGTGGACTCATCCTGTGGGAGGGGCGAGGCTGCAAGCAGAGCCCACAGGCAATGGCACTGCCAGGCCGTGGGGCTTGCTTCACACTCACTTACTTTGAGGGGATTATGGATTCTGACGAGGTGGCAGGGGCTCCTGGCCCTCTCCCCATCTTCCCTGGCCAGGAGCTGAGGGTGGTGCAGAGTGCTGCTCTGGGTGGTCGTTTCAGAAAGAGCAGTGGGCTGTGCTAGAGAACCCATGCTGGCCCCTCCGCATTGGACAGGGCAGCGCAGGGACCAATGTGCACAGGGCAGCAGACCCTCTGCCTGGGCTCAGTCTAGGGAAGGGGCTCCTGTACCCAGCTGGCACAGGCAGAGGCTGCCCTTTTCCTGTGCTTGGGGGCCGCACGTGCACGGTTGTCACGTCGTGTGGCTACCCAGCTGCAGGTGAGATGGAGATCAGATCTAGGCTGGTTCTTGAGCTTGCTGTTGGCTGTCACGGCCATCACCTCTTCTACAGGCCCCTAAAGGGGGTGGCCCTTGAGGGGCTTCTGAGCAGTGCCAATGGGCTAAGGGTCCTTGCTCAGCTCGAACAGAAATTGTGGGTTGGCAGCTGTAGCCATCGAGTGTTAATGGCCCTAAGCTTCAATGCCAGCAGCTCTCAGTTCTTGGTGTAAGTGGAGGTCTTGGGATGGGGGCTCCTGGCAATTCTCCACTGCTGTCATTCTCTGCCTTGAGCTGGATCACCAGCTCTGGCTGTGAGCCGCTTTTGGCACTACAGGCCTTTGGTGTTCCCAGCTCTGAGTGTACCTGGGAAGGATTGCTGTCCTTGAAAGGAAACTCCTCATGGGCTCCTCTCCTGGGAGCGCTGGGCCTTCCTGTCCTGTCTTATTTCCCAGATCTTACTCTCCTTTCCATCATTTGTGTGTGTGTGTGCTGGGGATTGAGTCTGGGGGGCTCCACGCATGCGAGGCAAGCGCTGCCCGGTGGAGCTGCATCCCAGCTGTCTTCCTTCATCTCTGGGAGCTGAAGGACAGTGGTCTGCCAGCGGCCTCAGTGCTGACCTGGGGCAGCTGTCCCTGCCCGGCAGAGGCCTGAAGTCCCTCCCAGGCTGCTCTAAGACTGGGGACTAGCTCTTTCCTCCTGACGCTGCATCCTGGAAGAGACAAACGACACATCAAAGGAGTCTGGGTCAGAAACAAGCCGTGGTGAAGTGAGGGCCCGGGAGAGGACTAGGCAGGGCCACTGTTTCTGCTGCTAGGCATTGTGCCCTGTTGCAAAGGTTGGTGTGATAGGTTCAGAAGCAGATGGGGTGAGCTCCTTAATGTGAAATGCGGACTTGTCATTCATCTCGTTGGTGGGTCAGCCCTCTGACAGGTGTGTGAGGCTCTGTACAGGGCCCCAAGTGCCTCGGCCAGAGTCTAGGAGTGTTCTCATCCTTTCCTCATCCTTTCCTCTTGAGTTTGCACCCAATGGGAGACTCCATGGCCTTGTCCCCCTTGGACTTATAAGAAACAGGTTTGCCCCAGAGAGAGACCCATAGTGGCCCCTAAGCTTGACCTCTGTGGGGTGCTTACTAAAACCTGCACAGCCCTTCCATCTAGGTTTTGGGGTTTTGTGGAGATCCATCCTTCCATGTTTTAAGCTAAACACGGTCCACAGGCTAAATCAGAGCTGTAGCTTTGTTTGAATCTGGTAAAGGCTGACATTGCTCACATATGGTGTCTGGAGCTCTGCTCTTACTCATACCTCAGAGTTCAGAAAGAGCTGTCAAAACGCATTTCCCTGCTTTACTTCTGGGGGCTGTCCTGACCTTATGAAACCTCTCAGAAGCATGGGTGGACATAACTCAGCTTGTTCGCCTGTCCGGTTCACTCCCAGATGACTGTGGTTCCCAGGAGCGGGAGAGACATTATTTACCTAAGCCTGTGGGAAAGATGATAGGTGACCCTGTCCAAAAATGAGGCCTTACTATCACGTTGGAGATTCTGGGAGCCCAGGGTGGGGTTGTTTCCCACAGGAGGCCCTTCGCCTCCCAGATGGGAAAAGCTCCATCGCAGTCCTCACCAATGCCTGCCTGTCTGCTCCTGCCCTCTCCACACAGCTGTGCCACAGGCAGGCAAGCTGTCTCCAGAAGTCCCCTGGCCCGCGGCAGAGGTGGTGTCCATGGCCTGGCTCTGCAGAGAAAGCTGGCGTTTGTGCCTGGTGAAGTCTGGGGAGCCTGGGTGTCATTCTGACCCTTAGGTCCACAGGAGGCCAGCAGCCTCTACATCCTGCCCGTCTGGGAGACACAGACAGATGTGGCAGAGCCAGGCCAGAGCCCAACGGGCCAATATCAGGAGCCACGGACACTGGTGGCCTCTTGTGCACCCAGCCTGTAGCCTTGGGTCTGTCCGTCTCTGGAGCAGTGTGAGGGACAGCAGAGATACAAATGTCATTGGACTGGTTCACTCTGAAAGGAAATCTGCTTTGTTTCCAGAAAGTATTTTCAGAACCCGGGAGCTTGTCCATGACGACCATCACCAGGCTCCGAGAGAACTGCCGCGTGGCACTGCTGGCACAGAGGTGACCATGTCTTCCACGTGTCCCCATGGTGTCCCTACATTCCCAACATGGGGAGAAGCCTTGACCACCATGGCCGACCCCTAGGCAGTCTACTGCCTCCGTTAGTGCTGTGAATACTTGAAGTCACCACTTTTGTGTTGTTTTTTTAAAAAGTGATTTAAAAATCATGTCCTTTTATAGCTTTTTTGTTATTACCTATGAAGTCATAAATTCCTAAGTTAACCTGAGACATTAGTAATATATAAAATGTGAAATGTGCATTTAATTTAATAAAACATTTCAGCACTGTGAGTTTTTGATTAGCAGCTTGACACCTGGCTGGAAAGTATCACCAAGCTGTGGCTGCCGTGCCATCGATGTGGAGGTACTGTCCTGCTCCCTGCAACACAGCATTTATCTCCAGCTGCGGTTCACGCCTGCAGCATGACTTTTCCCTAGCGGAGTTTTTCAATGACCGAGTCCCTGAGGAATGGACAAGTGGGTATTGGGCCTGGGGACCAGCACTTGAGTGCAGCCCAGTAGAGCCAGGCTGGGGCTCCCTCCTGCCTGTCCTGACAGGTGGTGCTGTCTGCTAGCCTGACCGACACCCTTGCACCAGGACCGGGAGCTTCCTGGACAGCCCGACTGAGCCCTGTGGGGGCTGACAGCACAGGTAGGGAAGGTGGGCAAGGGTGAGCCAGGCCAGCACACCCTGCTCGGCCCGTAGAAACCCTTGCCTTCCCCAAGCTGACCTAGTACGCCAGTCGCATCTGTTGGTCCTGGGTATCACCCTTGTGCCACACACCTGAGAAATGGGCGGCTTCTCAGCCATCCCGGACACAGCCAAGGGGATCTCGTAGCCTCCCACGGTGACACATGCCTATCAGCAGCCTAGCGACAGTCACTGTGCTACCTCTCCTCTGGGACAGACCTTCCTGCAGTTGGGCCATCCCACGTCACCACAGAGGGCAGTGTAGATGCCACTATCACTGCTGGCCTGGTGTCAGGCCTGAGCCTCCAGGCCACGTTGTACTGCACCCTCCTGCTTTGTCACAGCCACCCAGGGCTGCTCCTACCCAGGCACTGTGCTTTGGGCTGCGCCAGCTCAGGGTGGACCTGACCTGACCGATGTCCCTGTTCCCTAGTCTGGGAAGGGCCCCTGGGCTGTCAGGGGACTTACAGTCCTCAAAAGGTATCCACCCTGGGCCCCTTTCCAAGTGCTGATGCTCCCAACAGGCTTGGGTGTCCATCCTGCCCAGCTTGAGGGCAGCAGCTTCCTGACAAGATACACAGTCTCCAACGGGCAGCGAGCGAGTTGCCGTGGAGCCCAGTGTGGCTTTGACTCAGTGCTGGCATGCTTGCCTGTTGCAAGAGCTGCCAGGAGGTCTGGAGGCACTGCCACGCCTTCCTCTCAGTCTGAAGTCAGAGCCAAGCTTTAGGGCACCTGGCAGCTGTCCCGCTCACCCTGGGCATCTGGATCCCATGAGCAGCCCTCACCTCAACGGTCCTGGTTTGTGCTCCTGCTGTTTCCCAGGGACTGAGGGCCTGCCCTGCTCGGGCAGGGGTGGGGGGGGGAGCGTGAAAGTGCTGAGAAAGCAGCCAGCCGCCACTGCTGACACCCTGAGGAGGCCGCTTTGGCGATCAGACGAGGGGTCAGTGCTGTACAGAAGCTGCTCTCCTGACACCACCGGGCATCTGCTTGCAGCAAGCACAGTCCACACCATGCTTCAAGAGATGCCAACGGTCTCGGACTAGTCAGCAGCCCACCCCCAGCTCTGTGTCCACACCATCCTGGGCACTTGCAGTGCTGACAGAAGCACAAGGTCCAGACAGACAAAGAAAGAGACTGTTTATTAGCATCGTTACAGGCAATGCATCTCACAGAGCCGGGCTCTGTTTCCAGCCACTGGGCACAGCAGAGGCATCAGCAGAGCAAGTCCATCAGTGTACAGTGCACAACAGGGCTACCTGATGCCAACAGAAGACCAGAAACCACATCACAAGTGAACAAAAATAATACCCTTCCAACACCTAGAAAAGCAGCGGCTCTCAGGCAGTGGGTGTGGGAACACCGAGGCCATGCCTGGCTGGACGCTGGGCCTGGCCCTCTTGACCTAAAGCTGCACCAAGCCTCCAGATGCCCCCAGTGCCCATGGAGTTTCCTGCTCCGCTGGTCTGAACTCCTTGGCGTGCCGGCCTAGGGATCAGCCACCGCCTGTCAGTCTGCAATGTTCAGACCAGACATCTGCAAGGCCTAAATCTGAGCAAAGAATAAAAGAACCAACACCAAATTTTAAAACATCGAATGAATGGAGCCCATGCCAATTCAGAAAAGCATTCTTGCCCTCTGCAGAGTTCTACTTTGGTAAATATTAACGTTTAACCAGTTAGCAAAATATTTAACCCAGTTAGCAAAATTAACACCGTCATTTCAATATTAACTCTTTGTGCATAGTAAATGCTGCAAGATGAACTTCACATTTTAAGCAGATTTGAGAAGTTTGCCAGAAAGTGTGCCTCCCTCCACGCCACGCACGCACATATGCACGCCCAGGACGTGAGAGGCCTCGCCTGCAGCGTCTGCAGCATACCCCGTTGCCCTCTCTAGATCGTCTGGTAGCCTGCATGGCTCCTCTTCCTGCCTATGAGGTAGGCGATGAGCACGACGAGCACGAGCCCGGCCAGGGCGCCACCCACAGCGATGGGGATCAGCATGCTGTTGCCGTCCAGCAGACACTCCTCCGCTGCAACATGGAAGGCACGTCACCCCAAGGCCTGCCCAACTGCCCGCCAGGCTTCACTGGCAGGGGAAGAAAGGGGTGCCAGGGTGGGAGGCTGCATGCAGGCAGCACGGATAGGGACAGGCACTCTCCCCCTTGCTGCACTGCCAGGCACCATGTACACTGCCCGAAGTATACTCACCAGACCCAAACTTGTCCCCTTCGACCTTGAAAGCTTGGACCTGAACACCAAAGAGGTTGAGGAAGAAGGTGGGCGTGACAAGCAGCCGTTCCTCAGCTGAGCACTTGTAAGAGTTCCCCACAGTGGCCTGCAGGGCTCTAAGTGAGCTGTTGGCCGCGTGGAAGCTGGGCCCTGCAAGACAGGTGAGGGTCTGATCACTTCAGGCTACCACAGGCAGGGGTCGTGTGCTCGCTGGGTAGGAGTCACAGCATCGTGGGGCTCACCTCTGGCATCAGGGACAGTCATGTTCAACTGGACTTCTTGCAAGAAGAACTGGTTGGCACTCGTATTCTGAAAGAGAAGAGACCTTAGCTGCCTTCAGGTATGGCGCAGGCACTGTCACCCTGGCAGGCAACAAGGCATCAGTCTGACAAGCCTGTTTTTTTGCTCTAGAACGAAGCTGCACGGCGTCCTACCTACAGGATACCACACTGTGGTCAGCTCCTTCCAGGCCATTTTGTGGATTCAGACATTCTGCTGAGAAGGGCACTACAGGAGTCATGTTATAAAACAGCGAACTTTTGGTGGATGCTACAGGAGAGCTGAACTTCAAGAAGCCCAGCTGCTAACCAGCTTACTCACACCACGTGTGAACAGCACTGATGAGCAGCATCACTCTTCCCGTCTTGCTGTCTCTATACCTGACTCTTTCCAGGGAGAGTGCGGAGCACAGGAGCACTGCACCACCTCCTCCCACAGGGCCGTGACTGCGGGGCTCTGCCCACCTTCACTGCGGTCAGCAGCAGCAGCCTGGGCTCCTTGGAAGCAGGAAGGGGTCCTGCCCAACGCCCACCAAAGCCAGAGGGAAGGTGGCAGGAAGACAGCCACTGAAGGGGCCCCTGGTGTAGGAGCCGTGGTGATAAGGTGCCCAGAGCCTCACCAAGCCAAAGCTCAAGACCAGCACCATGTTCTTCTCCTTCAGCTGCAGGGACACCACCTGGGCACCACAGCTCCCCCCGGCAGTAGTTGCATTGGGGTTGATGTTGACCACTCTGGTCACGGTCTAGAGAAAGCAGAAAAGGACACCTCAGCCTTGGGCCCGCTCTGAGACTGCAGAGTCACTACCATGCCCAGAAGAGAACGCGCATCCTACACCGCAGACTGCCTCTCAGGAATGGCCATCCTCCTACCGTGTTGTCCTTCCGTGCATAGGTGATGTTCAGCTGCAGTCCCATGTTGGCCAGCAGGCAGGTCCCGTTATCGCCACTCACACTGTACCTGTGCGTGGAGGGGCTCGGAGACACAGGGCTGGGCGAGGGGCTGGGTGGTGTGGGTGGTGCAGGTGGCACGGAGGTCGGGGATGGCATGTCCTGCTTGCAGCGCGTTTCTGTGGGGACAAAGGAGAGGGCACATGCAGCCGAGTTGCAAGCCCAGCACTGTTCTAACAACCACTGACTTCCTGAGACCAAACTCGGAAATGAGAAGCCCACACTGAGCCCGTGGACCTGGTATCCTCCCCTCCATCCAGCCCAGCTTTGGCTGAACAGTGGCCAGGTCTCTGGGCAACTATGTGCACAGGGACAGGTGCACCAGGACCTAGAGTCCCTTCCGCCTGTTTCTACCTCTGCAGCAGGACAGCTGACCCTGCAGGAAGCCGAGCATCTCCCAGCCTGTACCTCCACTCCAGGACAACCCTGCTCCTCCGCCACAAGGGAATGGACAAACACCTGCTGTCTGCAAGTCCCCACAGTGTGAAATGTGGCAACACATCCTCACTGACTTCTCACAAGCCAGGCATGTGCTAGAGACATCACAACCACCACAGGGGTCCCTGCTCATGGCCCAGCTGGGGGTGGGGTACACCAAAGGAGAGCTGGAGTGGCTGTTTTGGTTTCTCTCTGGGGCAAGGTGTGAGGGGACGAGTAAGAGACAGTCACTGAGGAAGTAAGGGATGTGGGGGCCTATGCAGAGGCCGCCTGGGGACAGGCTTGGTTTCTGACTGTGGCTCTGCCCTTGGCCAGAGCAGCCTGACCAGCAACAGGGCAACTGTACAAGGGCTGGGGCTGCTGCACACAGTACTCGCCCTCAGGCCAACACCTGCCTTCCTGTTTTCTCTGTGGCTAATCCAGGAGTCTGGAATAACAGGTTCAGGTTTTCCTTCCAGTTCCATCCTTACCCACATTTCTGTGGGGCTGAGTCATGAGAATGTGCGGGAAGCCTGGGGAGGCACCACGCTGCCTGATGAAGCATACATTTCTCATTCAGATGCAAAGTGAAGCTCATCTCAGCGCCCTTCCAGTGGCCAGCTCTGCCTTTGGTCTCTTCACTATGCCCCAACAGGCCCTGCACACTTCTGGAAAGGTTCCTCCCTGTGGGCACCCTCAGGTAAACCCCCTTTTGGACAGAGGAAAAGCCCAAGGTGGGTGTACAGTGAACTGTACCCACGCTTCTGAGTAACCATCTTGGGTTGTGGGGCAGAGCCCAGACCACGAGGCCCACAGTGCTGGTAGACACCTGGCTCATCTCCAGGTGAAGCCACGGGTCGCCGAGCTGCAGCCCTTGGTGTAGAGCACATCCCCTCAGCTCCATGACTACCTGACCCTCTTAACACTCTCTGACAATGAAGCCCCTGCTGGGGAGGAGAGGAGGGGAGTGTGAGGCTGTGCACCCTTCCCGGGCCTGAGGCCTGAAGGCCCATCCTTCCTGACAGCAGTATGTCCAATGAACTCTGTCCTGAATGAAAACCCAAGTACAGGACTATTCAGCTTCAATCCCTTCAACTCAGGCTGGACTACAAGAGACACTGGCTTCTAAGGAATGAACAAAAACTGCTCAACTGGGCGGAAGTGAGGTTTATGAGGACCCATGCTTAAAAGCATACCCACATTTCAAACCCTGAGAAAGAAAGATGGATAGATCTGAGTCCCGTGGGGACCCAGGCCCACAGGCCTGGGCTGAACATAACCCAGTGCCCCAGCCAAGGACACAGATCCTCCCCACTTCAGGGTGGACTCAGTCTGCTGGCTTGGAGGGGCCCTTAGAAAGGTTTCTGCTTTCTCCATCCACATGGCAGACAGGCTCAGTTCAGGGAGGCCTCATTTAAACGATTTTCACTCCTGGTGTGGGCCTCATTTAAACGATTTATAAACCACCCAAGTTTTTGTCCATTTGACCCGAAGTGGTGAGATAAAGAAGGCTTTTTGGCTAGGCCCTCACAGCTGACAAGCACGTTCACAGAGCCTCCTTCTCCCTCTGTTATTAAAAATGACACAGGCAAGAGAAAAAGCCATTTTATGGCCAAAACAACCACTGAGCAGAAATGTATTCATCCAACAACTGGTTAGAACTCCTAATGGGAACAGACCAGGGACACAACAATACACTCCACATAAATGCTCTGGGACTCTTCCCTAAAGAAGCTAGAAATTTGGTTGAGAGAAAACATAACATAAACCATGGAAATGCCTAGGAACCCCAAGAATAAAGAGAAAATGGAGAAAGAAACCATGCAATTTTACCAAAAGTTAAGTGTGTTTATGCAGTTTATGCTGCTGTGGTGTCAGTACTTCAAATGTAAAGGTGGCGCACAGTCCTCAGGAAGGAGCTGCCCCAGGGGCGTCCTGAGAGCTCTTCTACTCCCCATCCCAGCAGGCGCAGGGGACCAGCCTGCTCAACACAGTGAGGCCAGGATACACTTCTCAAGACAAGGGCGCAGAGTTAGCAAGGAGCCCTCCAAGCATCTGCTCGGGTATTTCCGGTGCTAGCGAGTGCAGCCAGGGCTCTGGGCTGTGAGGCACAAGCTCTCTGCTTCGCTGCAAGCCCAGAGGCAGCCTGCCTCCGCTGGTGCTGAGGATTCCCAGCAATGGAGGCCCAGACGGGTAAGGGGTGACTGTTAAGGTACTGCTGCGCACCCTTCCAATGAGATGGCTTCCCAAAGCCTCAGACTCCTTCCCTGAGACACAGCACGGGACAAGAACGCCTGTGACCACAGCCCAACCCTCCCCACACCAGCCAATGACTAACAGGGGCCCGATTCTGACCCTGAGGACACCACAGCTGCCACAGATACTCAGTGGGGCTTCCGGATGAACCTTAGCTACCAGCACTCTTCTAGAATTCACTAAGAGACTGGCCCAGGAGTGCTGAAGAAGGCAAGACTTCCTTCCCAAAGTATAAGCATTTGCAGATTTAACACAAAATCAAGCCAATTGTCATGAGGGGAAGGGTGAAATCTCAGAGCCTACCTCAGAAGCTAGGACATGCTGAGTGAGGGACAGGGAGCAGCTGCAGGCTGCAAGCCCAACTCTGGGCAGTCCCCAAGACCACACAGCAGCACATCCCAGGGCTGCCCTACCAACCACCCATGGAGGGGCCTTGTTCTCAGACTCTCCCCCCTCGGAATCAGAGAATACATTCTATGTTTTAAAAATCACCACTGTGTGAGATCTGGACAGTGAGGATATGTGGCAACCACTCACCTGGGGCAGAATTTCAAACTGTTCTAAAAAGCAAAAATAATTATGAACGTAAAAAGACATGCGAGTCCCTTTCTGCTGTGTCTGCACTTCCAGTCAGAGAAAGTAGCCAAGGTCTCAGAGCTCTTCCCGTGCCTGTCCTCAGCCACAACACAATCTCTAGCCTCTAGGCCCCACATGGGCCAGGGAACAGAAAAAAGCACACCACCAGGTGACAGGGCCGGAAGGTGGCACCACAGGCTGAACCTCATTCTGTGACCACTGGTCCTGGCCCAGCCAGGAGTGTGTCTGCTTCCTCCTGCTCTAGACCCAAAGGCTGCTAGAGGCCTCCTGTCCTGCAAGGCTGGCCTGAGCCCAGACAACAGATCCAGGCCAAGCTGTGAACACCCATGGCTCCACACCTGCCCTGTTCTGCCTAACTGAGGTCCAACACCACTCTGAAAGCCCACATGCAGCTGTCTCCTCCCAACTGGGCAGGAGCAGCTCCACGCCACTGCTGAGATAGGCCACAGGGCAGTGCCTCTGTGCCTACCTGTGGGGAAAGGGCCTCGCCAAGCACCAGGGGTTGGCATCAGAGACCAAATGCAGCGAGGTTTGCTGGATGCCTGACTCAAGGCTGCCTCCACTGGAACCTCTCGGCAAGTCCCCACCTGTCCCAGTTATACCTGGCTTCTCTGTGGCAGGACTTCTTTCTGCCCTGGGCCTGTCCCTAGCACTCTTGCCACCTTTTCTGTGAAGTGACAGACCGTGAACGGATCAGACTGTGGGCTGTGGCTGGGTGACGACAGCTGAGCTCTGCTGCTGTTGGTGTGAAAGCAGCTGCCAGAAACGTGAAGAGCCAGAGGCTGAGTTCCAGCTGGACTCTCCTCACCAGCACTGATGCTGTACAATACTCAGACTCTTCTCTGACCGCAGGGCAGGGCAGGGCTGAGAGTTCTCTGCTGGTAGGAACCCACAAGGCAAGAAGCCCTCCTGTGAGCCCTGCACCCAAGCCACCTATGCCCTCTAGCAAGACCGTAGGGTGCACTGCACAGGTTAGCCGTGGCATGTCTGACGCCATGGGCCCAGTGCTGTCCCCAGACCCTCAGTCTTCTGAAAAATGCCATGTTGTGTGGTCTGAGGGTCTCACTATGGAGTACAGGCTGGCCTTGGACTCACAGTGATCCTGGCTCAGCCTCCCGAGTGCTGGGATTATAGTGTGTGCCACCACACCCAGCCTAAATGGCATGGTTTCTGACCTGATGAAGATGATTTGGGATTTCTCCAACACCCTTTCTGCAGTACTGGGGATTGAACCAAAGGCCCGACATATGGCAGGCAAGAGTTGCTCTACTATATCCCAGCCTCAGCCCTCTCTCTGAGAAAAGGTCTCACTTATTTTGCCCAGGATAATCTGAAACTTGCAATCCTCCTGCTTCAGCCTCCTTAATAGCTAGAATTACAAGTGTGTACCACCACTCCCAAAACAAATATATTTTACTGTCTTTCCCCCCTCTTTCATTTGTTTTTTTCTTGAAAGTACTGGTAAGAAAATGCCTGCCAGAAAAAAATTTAAAAGTCAGGGATATAGCTCAGTGGTATAGCACTCCTGGGTTCAATTCCCAGTACTACAAAGAAAAAATTTTGCTGTTCTCTGCCAGGTACTGAAATAAAAACTTCTCACACATTTCCTTTAATCCCAACCTTCAAAAGCCAGACTACTGTACTTATTTTACAGGTAAAGAACACAAGCCCTTGACCATCTTGTCACTGGTCACGGAAAGGAGGCAGCCTGGACCCTGCCCATCTGCCCCAGATCTCACTGGCTGGTATAGGGGAGAGGCCCTAGTGAAGACCTCCTCAGGAAGGTGGGTCTTCTGCCTCCATCCTGGGCCTGTCTGACCCGCACAGAAGGGGGAGCCAGCGTGGAGCCTGTTCCCAAGTGCCCAGCCCAGGACGGTTGGCACAGGAAAGGGGTCCACTACTCTGGTCCTCTGCCCCCTTTCTTCCGTGTGCACTGTGGACACCCATGTCACCTCACCTGCCTTGTCTCAGAAGCCACATTTCGCCCCACCTCCACCCACTCCCAGCTCGAGTCCCTCTTCCTTCCTGGGCCTGTGGGTGAGTAAGGGCAGGCGGTATCTGTCTGGGCCTGGCTTGCTCTGTCCAGTCCTGCCTCACCCTCCAAGGCCAGTTATGCAGACACTTGCTACTTAGTATGCCAGGTGCTGAGACTCAGGTGAGGCCCCGCAGTCACTACAGCCTGGCAGCATCTCACCTCCCTTGCTGAAGTTGCTGTTGGACAGGTAGGCCTGGATGGTGGTATTGGAGAGTGTGACAGTCACGTTCTTCATGTGCACCTGGGTAGCGCTGACACAGTGGTACTTTTTGTCTATGTCCGCCAGAATGTCAGTTATGGAGTCCTCAGTCTTGACTTCTGCATCAAGAACAAAACACCACCAAAAAAAACCCCAAAAAACAGAACAGAAAAACACGTACACTGAACTTCTTATAGCGCTTGGTTCCCAGCGAGCTCAACCACCCTTAAACCCAGTTTCCTCCTCCCCATGTGCAGCCCTGGCTCTCACCCTTGGAGCTTGCATTGGGGAAGGTACGTGAGTCTTTCAAGTTATACACAAAGCGCAGGTGCTGCACGCGGTAGCGGGTGGTGTTCCGTGTGAACTGGAGGGTAAGTGAATGTCCATCTCCGAAGGCGATGGCAAGCCTGGGCTCGGAGGCATTGCCTCCACCACACGAGCTGCTGTTCAGTACTTGTGCAGAAGGCGGGAGGTCAAAGGTCACATTCTAGGACACATAATTTGAGAACCCCTTGAAAAGCAGAAATGCCACAGGAAGACCTACCTTCTATGAAGCTGACAGAAACTTCAGCTCCATTTCAGGTACAATTTTAAGGTACCACTTCATAGTAAGTTTTTATTTGATAAAAGTATTTGTTCAAATTTGTGTGGTACAGAGTAACTCAATACACACATATAACATGTGACAATCAAACCAGGGCAAACAGCACTTGCCTCTCATCCAACGGTATCTTCTCCAGGCAATGCTACCCTCCCACTCTCCACCTCTGGTCATTCTTAAGTATATATTAAACTTCTGGGGCTAGACTTTTCTTACACCTCTGTAAGACATGCACTTTTAATGTATTCAACAAAACCCAAGAAAAAGGTCAGTACTGCATGTCAGCAACAGACTAATGATCAAGTCTAAGAGAAAGGTAACTTTATCATTCATAGTTAACACTGCCAAGCCTGGTGTGGGGCATGCCCAGAATCCCTACATTTGGAAAGCTAAGACAGGAGGGTTTTGAGTTGGAGGCCAAGCTAGGTTACACAACAAGTTCAAGGCCAGTCTGGACTCCATCATGAGACTGTTTCACAACAAAACAGTGCTTCTATTAAAATAACTTTAATTTATAACAGAATCAACACTAAACTAACTTAATCTATACTTGGTACCATGGCCAGTTATACATTATATTTGAAGAAAGCTGTCATTACTTTTTGCTATAGTAATGTTTGTTTAAAGTATATCTGGTAAACCAGGTATAGCAGCAAATGCCTATAATCCTAGTGCTCTGGGAGGCCAAGGTAGGAAGATTCCAAGTTTGAGCTCAACTTGGACTACTGCCTACATATTAAAAAATGTTTAAAAGGCTGAGGACACAGCTCAGTGCAAAGGCCCTGGGCTTAATCTTCAGCATGGGCAAGAGGGGGCAATATATTGCTAAGCAAAGGTGTTTACTACAGAACTATTTGAATTTGGGAAACCACCTGACATCCAATAACATGAAGTGGGCTGTTAGGTAAACTACACAACAAAGCCACATGGGAATGTGACATAGAGCTTCACCAGGTGATGAAGACATCTATAAAATGATGAAGCTCATGACTGCATGTGGACTACCGTGTCCGTGTCAAGACTGTAACAAGCTGTCTTCTAAAAATCTGACCACCAAATACAAACAGAAAAAGGAAAGTAGAATATAAAAGAAAAAGTACTTTGACAAGTAGCTGTAGTTTGAGACACCTTCACAATTCAAACACCCCGATTTTCTTCAGTTGTCACAGACACATTTACACGAGACTAGAGCAGATGAGTTCACAGAGCCCAGCACTGCACAGAGTCCAGCACACACTGGACAGCACTGCCTCTGACTGCCCTAGCCCATGAAGGCTGTGTGCTCTGCTGACATGGAGGTACACAAGGATGGCAGCACCCACCGAGAACTGAAAGCACAATATGGCTCAGGGCGGCACTTCAAGGAAAACGTATTAAACAGTGTGCAGGTATTAGGTAATACTAACAGGTGATTAAGGAACAAATACAACACATATACCTATCTGTTATAAATCTAGGAGAGATAAAAAAAACCTTAAGTCACCTAAAGTTGTTTTAACAGAACCAAGAATATTTTAATATAAGCAGCACTGCATAAGCTACCACCTATGTTCACTTCCTGGAGTATAGCAACTGATCTAAAGTAAGTGCAACAGAGCAAAACATGGAGCTGTTCACTAGTCACAAAAAAAGAACATGAAACAGCCAATAGGGGGCCTAATTAACACTGTGAGTACTGCTCTGATGACAGTAAATGGTCATGGAGGAAACCGCAAGACTGTGCAGGGTGAGATGGCGCAAGCCACAGCACAAGGCGGTGTTTGCATGCTGTGACCACAGTCATGGCACAGAGAACAGAAGAGGTGCCTGATGCCCCTGGAGGGGCCCTGGGGGAAAGGGCCTCACTCAGCTGGGATGGTCTTCAGAGCAGTACTTCAAACCCTAATGCCCCCTCCAACAGGCACCCTCACAGGGCGAGGCGGGAGCACCAGTGTTACCTACCTTGGGGCCAGGCTCACTCTCATAGCTGGTCTCGAAGGCAGCAGAGAAGCTGGCCATGATACAAGCTGTCCCGTTGCTGTCTCTCACCTCAAACACCGCCGCGGCACCACACGTGAGGCCCACTACCTCCAGGAAAAGACAGACAGAATCAAACACCTGTTCCAAGCACAACTAGGCATTTCTGTTTTCTGGAGCTGTACCAGTAATAGACTCTATCAGAATATCTTATCAGGCACTGGATGTGGACGGTACAGGCTGGTTGGTGCACCTGGTGTTCTATCCCTCCTTGACACTCTTCCAAATTCATCCCACTGGTTTGCCAACCTGATCCACAGCTATTTAGTGCTTTACTCCTAAATACTCAGGGGTGGGCTTATACATCAATTTCCACCTCACTCCAAGTGTATGTTGTTCCTACTCCTCAGGATCTGTCTGTAAGTGTAGCAGCACCAGGTACAGATAGTATAATGACCTTCTGAGAACTCCAGGGTGGGCAGAGCACCTTTCCCTGTGGTCCTAAACTGGTACTTAAGAGTCTGATAGGCTTTTACCTCTCAGAACCAAGGGAGGGGTGTGGCAAGGACAGCTATGGACTCTTGAGTGCTTCACCCAGTTTCAAGACAGTCCCAGAGCACAGTAGCTCAATCTAACCTCCTCATAGCTGAGAAGCCTGAGGCACACCCTCCACCTGTCCGGGTGGGGCTGTTCTTTCCAGAAAGTCAGGGGAGAGGCTCCAAGGCTCTTTAGGGTTGGTTCTTGCACTCTGACAAATCACAATTCATTTACAAAGATCAGTACACCTAGTTCTAAAGCCAGACATTATTGGCCACCACTGTGAACTGTCCAGAAATGCTATGTCATCATCACTTGCTTGCATTGCTACAAGTTTGTGCACACTTTTGCAAAAACATTTACACACCTGCAGCCTCCCATCACTCTCAATGTGCACACTCTCCCACAAGCATTTACACACCTGCAGCCTGGTCTGCCGCTCTCAGTGTACATGTGACTCAAGCTCACTTGGGGACAGCATCCTCAGGGGAAGATCATCCAACTTTTCATTTAAAACACAACACCCTGGGAAAGTGAGTTGGATTCCAGTAAACCAAATTCATTTTACCCTTGGGACATACAGAAAATAAAACCTTTAAGAGAAACTAGTACTCCGTCCTGTATCAGGTGTGGTGGGGCACACTTGTAATCCCAGCACTCAGGAGGCTGAGGCAGGAGGATCACCATGAGTTCAAGGCCAGCCTGAACTACAGAGCGAGACTGTCTCAAAAAAAAAAAAAAAAAAAAAAGAGTGAGAAACTAGTATTCCAATGTAAAGTCAAATGTATAACCAGACACCCCACATTTTCCCTTAAGCTGCTGGTAAATAACAAAATCTATGTTTATAAAAAACGCACACACTTGGAATTCTGGCCACTTTCATGAAGCTGTGGCAGGACAATTCAAGAGCAAGGCCAGCTTGGACATTTAGCAAGACCTTGACTCCCAAAAAAGACAAGAGAACTTTGTGGTGTGTTTCACACCACAAAGTTTGTAATCTGTTGCAGATTCAAATTTGCTAAAGATAGCTCTTTTTCTTATCACTATAAATTGAGGTTAATGTTATAAAAATATTTTTAAATTTAAAAAGGGTAACTGTTACTTGGTTTGCTTTGTTTAATCCACACCCACAATACACAGGCAACACTATACTAAAAAGCATTTCCAATGAATGAATAGTACGCTTGAAAAACCTAGGAGATTATATAACCTATTTTCAACACAGGAAAGGTTTTTAAAAACACAACATTTCCACTCCTGTCTGTGAGGAGGGACCAGACCTGCGGGAGGCAGTAGTAGCAGTGTGGGAGGCACAGGCAGGGGCAGAAACAGGGACAGACTGGACACATGACATGTCCATGATACTGCCCAGCTTCCTCGGCCTGAAAAGTCCTCAGGGCGAGGGCTGAAGGGGTCCCATGCCCTGATACCACATAGCCAGCTCTGAAGAAGCTGTCCTCTTAATGCTTCCTGAAACATTCCAAAAAAGGTCTTCTGGCCTGGCCTGTGGCTCAGTGACACAGGCTCAGAGTCCCCAGTTAGATTCCTGACACCACAAAATGAAACAAAATGTTTTATTGAACCAAAACATTTCATCATGAAAGATATCACACTAATACCTTCTCAATCACAGATTTTCTTCTCACTCAGCAGATATTTGAGAGTATGAGCTTTCAAAATACAACAAAGTATGACTAAAATAATTTTAAAACAAGCTTTAGTAGTACTAAGTGTCCATATTTACTCAAAAGAGCCCTAGAAATTCTGAATTGATAAAACTTACCCCCACAGAACCCAATTTGGGTCAAAAGAAAAATTTAAATGAAAGTGTAAGAAAGCAGAATTTTATTATTTATTTATTTTAGAATCAAACTCACCTAGCACTTAGAATCAAACTCACCTAGCACAAGAGGGCCTAGCACTTGCCAGGCAGGTGTGGTGCTATTAAGTTATGTCCTGGGCCCAGACAGCACAGTTTTAAAAGAAACATACACAGGCCAATGCTCCAAAGTCTTTTAAAAGACTTAACAGTGGCAACTGATCTGAAGGAAAAAAACAACAAAACCACCTCCTCCGATCACAGTACGCTGCCTGATCTGGCAGTGCCAGAGCCCGTCAGGAGCAGCTGCTGGGGCTCCACAACTTCTGCCCAGAAGCCTGTGCACCTCTCCAGGGGTCACACAAAAGGGCAGCCTCAACACACTCCTTCAAAAGACTCCCACTTGTAGAAATTCCTGCGGTTGTGTACAGCACACACGCACCAAAGACAGAGACCTCAGGTCTCAGTGGCTCTGTCACCACTTACTAGGTGTGCAACCTTGGGCTACGTGCAACCACCCAATCCTCAACTTCCGAGCCTATGAACAGGAAACACAAGACGCTGACACCTCAAGGTTGTGAGAGCATCTCCCCAGCCAGTGCTGCTGAGTGTCTGCACTGGTACCAGCTTTCACAATAAGTGTATTACGTAGTTTCTTGTCAAATTCATCACGTAATCATCAGTTTCACGCTGGGTGTGGTGGCGCACACCTGTAATCCCAGCACTGGGGAGGCTGAGGCAGGAGGATCATGGCAAGTTTGAGACCAGCCTCAGTTACAAAGTGAGCTCAAGGCCAGCCTGAACTGCATAGCAAGATCCTGTCTCAAACAGAACCCCCCCCCACACACAAAAAATCATCATTTTCTAACACAAAGTATCATAAAGATAGTATATATTAGCCAGGTGTGGCGGTGCATGCCTGTAATCCCAGCACTGGGAAGGCTGAGGCAGTAGGATCACTGGGAGTTTGAGGTCAGCCCAAACTACACAGTGAGACCGTATCTCAAAAAACAAAACAAAAACGGTATGTTATTTAACAAGCCCTTACTTGTTTTAGGGGGAATATTTCTTGCTATACTGCCCAGGCTTATCTCAAACTCATAGAGTCAAGGGATCCTCCTGCCTAAGTCTTCTGAGCATTGGAACAATAGGTGTGTGCCAGCAACCAGCTTAACAAGCACTTACAATACATTTACACTGTGGCAGGCACTGATCAAAATGCTTTGCAAGTACTGATTATCACGACAATGCTAACAGCAGTCACTATCTGTGATTCCTTTCACAGAGGTGGAGACTAGGGCACAGAGAAGCAACCTAACTTGCCCACGATCACACAGCCAGTGAGTGGTACGCGTCTTCTGCTTCTCTGGTTGCTGGCTGCAGTGAAGGTGCCACATCTGACCATGCTGCCTCTCTCAACAGCTGGTGTAGGAATAGAATTCAGACTACAAAACACCTGCTTTTTTTTTTTTTTTTAACATTTGCTTTTCAAATGTGAGAAACTGCCATCTGAGGGAGTCAGTAAATTAATTTTCATTAAAAAAAAATACACCCACTTTGTCCTGGCCCCTTTTAACACAGTATGTCTCTTCTTAAACAGTGACAGACAATCACTTACGACAATTTAAAAAAATCAGCCAAGCATGGTGGCACACACTTGTGATCCTGTACTCTGGAAGTTTGAGGCAGGAGGATCACAAGCTTGAGCATACTTAACAAGATCCCATCTCAAAAAGTTAAAAAAAAAAAAAAAAAAAAAAAAAAAAGCCAGCAGTGGTGGCAAATGCCTGTAATCCAAGCATTTAGGAGGCTGAGGCAAGAGGATTGCCGAGTTTGAGGCCATCCTGGGCTACAAAGTGAGTTCAAAGGTCAGCCTGAACTACACAGCAAAACCTTGCTCCCCCACCCCCACTCCTCAAAAAAGAGTTGAGGACACAGTTCAGTGAGAAGGCCCTGGGTTCATATCAGTATCAAAAAAAAAAAAAAAAAAAAAAAGAAAAAAAGAAAAAAGTCAAAGTTCTCCCCCAGACACTGAATCTAGAGGAACGGCACAATTACACATATTTTTTTAAAGCTGATTTTTCGCTCTCTGGTTAAGCACTGCTGTAAAATGAATTTCTTCCTGTAGGTTCCGAGTGTGTACCATGTGTCAGGGTTGGGGTGGGCTGAGCTGAAGCAGGGAGAAACAGACACACTAAAAAAACACTCAGCACAGATACCCTGGTGCTACAAAGTGTGTGCAGAAGTCTCAGCAGGTAACACGGGTAGGTTTGACCTAATATAAATTCAAAACTACAAGATCACAAAAACATTTTGACCTAAAATCTAGTGAAGAACTCAGTCCTCCACCTGAATAACTGATGAACTCCCCAAATCAAGAGCAATTAATATTAATTAGCACAGAACTTTTCAAACTTCCCAAGCGGCTAGCCTTCCTCTGGAAAGAGGAAGGAGGTCATCCAGTTGACATCAATGTTTAAAGAGTCACATTATGCGATTACAACCACCATATGTACTCAAGTTTCAGTTCGCACTTCCCTGTGCTTTGACGAAATAGTCCAACAATGGAAGCTTTAAGCAATCTGTACTTATTAATGTGCAATTAACTAGTAATTTAAAAGTCACAAATGTTTTCGAAAAGAATTAAACTTTTAGGACAGACCTAAATCCAGCTTGTTAAAAGACCTCTTGGTCGGATGGGGTGGCACATGCCTGTAATCCCAGCCCTCAGGAGACTGAGGCAGGAGGATCCCCACGAGTTTGAGTCAGTCTGGGCTACATAGCGAATTCAGTGTCAGCCTGCACTACAAAGCGAGACCCTGTCTCAAAAAAAAAAACCACCCCAAAACAAAACAAAAAAAACAACAAACAATAAAAATAAAAAGATCTTTTATGCAGTTTTCAATAGTAAGGAAATCTAAAACTTATTACACACACAGCACCCCAAGCTGTCACACTAGCAATGTTACAGAATTTTTCTCTCCATTTAAAAAATGAACTTTGAAAACACGAAACCAAATACGAACATTCGTTTAAGATCATGAGCTCTTCTAACAAAACAAGACAAAACCTGTACCAACAACCGCTCCCAGAAATGATCGCCCCTCGGGGGCGGTCACAGGTCCGAGGAGCTCCGAGCTCAGCGCGGGGCAGAGCCGTCTTTCCCCGACAGGCAACCGGGAAGTCACAGCGGCAGGAGCGCCTGGAGGGGCCGGAGCCCTGGGAGCGCCGGGCGGGCGGGCGCGCGTGCACGCCGCCTGACTCAGGCCCCCCGATCGCCTTCCTCTGGACTCGGAACCGGGTCCGCCGCAGGCCCTGAAGGGCGGCGGGGACGGCGCACAGGGGTCCTGGCCCGACGCGGCGCAGCACGAAGGGGCAGCCGGGCCGCGGGCGGCTTCGCCTCCCCCGGCCCGCACGGACGCCCGCGGACGCCGCTCTCCGACGCGGCGCCCAGGCCCCGACCCTAGCCCTTGACCCCGACGCTCACCGAGCAGGAGCAGCAGCAGCGGCCGCCGGACGCCGCGAGAAGCAGCCATAGCGCGAGGCGCCGAGGCCGAGGCCGACCAGAGGAACCGCAGAGGCGCGAGGCTGCAGCGGCGGGCAGCGACGGCCGAGGGCGGCGTCCACAGACTCGACAGGCCCTGCTGCTAAGGCACCGGCACCGACTAGACCCTGCGGCCGGTAGCGCCCGTCACGTGAGCCGCCGCGCCCGCGTCACGTGACCGGAGGTCTCGCGAGAGGCCACGAGCCGGCCGTGGGTCGACCCCCGACTCCCCATTCTCGTCGCACGTGACGCTGCACGTGATCCTGCCCGACACGTGATCCCGCTTGTCATGTGGTCTTAATGCCACGTGATCCAGCCTCTAGCTGGTCCCGCGCCTTTGCAGCTTCCCAGCTGGCGCGGTGAAATGGAAAGTGGGTCAGGCCTCAGGGAAAAGGAAGAGGAAGCGCAGCGGCGGGGAGAAAGTGGTGGCGGAAACGGGAAGCCGCGGGGACAAGACGGGCAGCACATGACGGGCGCCGCGAGGGTTCGGCAGCAGGACCCCACGCCCCAGCCCGCGATGCACCCCCCAGGCCGGGGTCCGCAGCGTGGCGTACGGTCCAGGCCGGTGTCCACGTCCATACCCACGCTCTGGTCACCGGCGACTGTCCTCAGCCTGGCCCGCTCCAGGGCAGGTCCACGTCTGGGCCCGGGGTCCGCGCCCGGGCGCGTAGGCTGGTCCTGGGGCCCTGCACCCAGGCGCGGGCGCGAGATCAGCCGGCTAGCGGCGCGCAGAGGGCTTTGTCTCTTCTGGGTGAACAGGACGTGGGTCCTCGCTGCGTCCCAGCTCCCCGGAGCACGCAGGAGGAGCGGACTGAAATCAGTTGTGCGGCTTCCCACCCAGGAGCGAGTGCCACGGAGATCCTCGTCGAGGCGGGTTGAGCGCTCATAATGGTGGGAGAATACAGCGATGATCTGCCCTGCCAGAGGACTTCCATGAGGAGCTCTACTGAAGACCCCCAAGGTTTAACGTAATGTCTCCTCTGCTCCTGTGGCTCTCGAGTGGGAAATAAAGCTGGCAGTGGGGAGTAAAAAGGAGCGCTTGAACAGCGTACTGAATGTTCAGTTTCCTGCTGCAAATCTTCGTAAACAGTGAATTTGCTAATGAGTAAGTAAACCGTACAACTTGAGCTGGTGAGGCAGACTGGGCTGGTGCCTTCATCTGAGTTTTCCTGGTTTACCGCCTTGCGCAGATTCTGAGGTATTTCTGCCGCCTTGGAAGACATATGAAGAATGACACTTGCTGCCTCGGCTATTTTTCTTAAAAATTCACACGTGAAACAATAATAGGCGGCAAAATTGCCCCTTTTTGTTTTTTCTGATGTATCAAGGAAGAACGGCTGCGTGCCTCATACACCGCTTCAAGTGAAATCTAGAGGGAGGCTCAGGGGAGTCAAGATTAGGGGCGAGTCATGCCTTGGGCGTAGCCTTGCCGGAGGAGAAAAGAGCCTCGCGCTGCTGCTCTTCGTGTTTACCTGCCCTGCCGGTGTCCTGTATTTATCGGTTTCTGCTGAAGGGCCTTTTAGGTGCCCTCCTCGCCCGTGGTTCTCTGCACTGCCTCCCGTGTTCCATGACTTCAGGGAAAGCGGGGAGGGCTCTCTGGTTTTGTGTTTGTTTGGGTTTTGTCACTTAGCAGTAGGACTTCATATTTTCAATTTTGGAAAAGCTAAAAGAGAAATAAACGGGGGTTTTTGTTAAAAACAATGCCATGTACGGAAGGTTGGGAAATCGCGGTGAGTCTGGCTGTGTGCAGTGTTTCTCCTGCAGTGGGTGTCTGCAGGGAACGCACTCTCCAGAAAACCGCAGCGCGCTCTTGCAGTGTAGCCCTCACCTTCTGCACTGCGACCTTGCTTCCGGGACTGGAACTCCATCCCCTGGTCGCTCATCGTCTGCTGCCTGCAGGCAAAGACCCCAGCCACCTTTGCCGGCAGAAGGCCTGTGTCTCGTCCTCTTTCCCTGCTGCGCCCTTGCGGGTGTGATTACTCACACGTGGATGCCTCCCCCTTTCCTTTCTAACCCCGCTTCCTCCTCACAGACCCTTTAGCGAGCCTGCGTGAGCCCCTTCCGGTTTGTGCATTGTTACCATCACTCTGCTAAATAGTCCTCGGTTCTTGTGACTTTTCTTAGTGTTTTTTTTTTCCTTCAGTATTGGGGTGTTGCTCAGCCTCAGCGTTGAGCTAACTCCCACGCCCTTTTTAATTTTGTAATTTTGAGGCGGGGTCTTGCTACATTGCCCAAGCTGGGCTTGAACTGCCAGTCCTCCTTGCTCAGCCTGCCTGAGAGCTGGGATCACAGACGTGCCCCCATGCTCGATTTGCTTGCTGTTGCTTCTTCAGGGCTCACTTTGGATTTATTTCTTCCTTCTCCGGATCAGGGAGTCTAACACCAGAGCTCCAGAGGTGACACCATCCATGCTCACATCAAAGCTGAGGCTGGCTGGGAGTGCGGCAGGGGAGAGTATGTGGAGCCCAGGGCCTGTTTATGCTTTTCCTGCAGATGAGTTATGAACAGTAAACGTACAGACACTGTCAGTCTGACGTGTGAAAATGATGTCTGAGCCTAGATGCTGCTATGAAGTAGACTGTTAAATTTAGACATAATTGGGAGGACTTTTAAAATATTTTATAAATAATGTTTACATTTTGAAAATATTTTCTCCTGGATAATGTTGAAAAACTACCAGATAACCTTGAACACAAAAGCAAAAGCCCTGTGGCTCGTGCTTTCCCGGCCCTCCTGCCCCTGAGGTCTCTTATCTTGCAAGTCATAGTGGGAGACAATAGACTGTAGAAGCCGAAAAGACACCACATTCCCAGCTTTACTGGAAGTTTGGGTGTGTTCTGGCGCTGGCCACAGTCTGGCCTGGTGGAGGTGAAGACACTGCCCTGAGGACATGGTATCTGGTGGCAACTGGCAGCCGGGGTTGAGGAGGCAGTGTGGGGATTTTAGGGGTAGCAGGGGAACCGGCCCTGCCTGACCTTTGCCAGCGTGGGCCTTCAGAGTACTCTCAGCTGTGGCCTTGGCTCTTCCTGCACCTTGCAAAAAATTCTCTCTCTCTCTCTCTCTCTCTCTCTCTCTCTCTCTCTCTCTCTCTCTCTCTCTCCCCTCCGAATTCTCATTTTATGTCCCGCTTTTGCAATTATTATTAACAAATGTTTTCTCATGTACTACAGACTCCTTAGAAACTTTCAGTGGCTATATAATGCTGTGTCACCTGTTAATATGAGTGATAATATGATAAACATTTTTGAGGATGAAACTATATTCTTATGACTTTCTCCATAGACTGTTCTCCCATAGATTAAATTTTCTGGGTAGAAGGCAATGTTGTCTAGTCCATACCCTACTAGCAGCTGTTATGGGGTCTGGCATTTTATTTTATCTTATTTTATTTTTGAGACAGTCTCACTGTGCAGTTCAGGCTGGCCTTGAGCTTACTTTGTAGCCCAGGCTGGTCTTGAACTTACAATGATCCTCCTGCCTCAGCCTTGGCATTTTATTCTTTCCTTAGTCATTCATCAAACATGGAATCATTTCCTTTTGTTTGTCTTTTGCCTGAATTCTCCATTATTTTTTCTTTATTCAAGAATTCGTGGATGATCACCTAACAGCAGGGACAACAGCTGTGGTGATCAGAACTTCAGGCACCAAACCAGGCAGGAAGGTGGCACAGCCTGAGGGCCACCTGGCACAGAGCCTGGCACCATCCTATAAGGGCTGCATCGTGGCTGAGCCTAGTCATGTGAGGTTGTTGGGGCCTGGGCTTGGGGTCAGCAGCCCTGCTGTCTGTCTGTCCTATCTGCTGCTGGGGCTTTGGCCCATTAATGATACGCAGTGAACTACAGTGGCCAATATGGGCAAGACTGGTGTCAGTGATGCAGCAATTCTGCAAGCCAGATGAACGTCAACAGGAAAAAAGAAGGAAGACTTTATTATACTTTTTAAAAATGCACACTCTCCTATGGGACTTGAGATTGTTATTCTTTTTTGCTATTTAGTATAATGTCACTGAGAACTTTTTTTTTGAGACAGGGTTTCACCACATAGCCCAGGCTGGCCTTGAACTCAGTGATTCTCCTGCCTCTGCTCCCAAGTGCTGGGGCTGTAGGCATGTGCCACGATGCCTGGCTTAAGAACATCTTTTATATGTATGTCTTGTGCACATCTCTGACAATTTCCCTTTGACTGATTCCTTGAAGAATTATTTTGGGATCAGAGATAGGGAAGTTTGGATGTTTCTAAGTCACTCTCTGGAGCTGTTCCTGAATGCCTGCCCCTGAGATGAGGTGTTACTACATCTTGAATTCTCGAGTGCTACCGGTCCTCCCACCTCAGCCTTGGATTTCCTTGAGGTACTTACAACATAGTAGTATTTTTTTTAGAGAGTTATGAAAAAGGAACCCTCAGAGACAAAGAAGAACCAAAACTTCTACCTTCTTAGAGAGCAGAGTAAAAAGAGTTCAGAGGCACTGGCAGCATGACAAGTTGCATACTCCCACACCTGTTTCCATTTCCACACTCTGCCTGTGCTAAGTGCTGAGGGTCCTGCCCCGAGAGGGTGCTCTTGAGGCCCTATTCTGTTTAAGAGTGAAATGCTCGCAGCAGAGATCATTCCTGACACCTGAGACAGTGCCCGGGCACGGCAGGCTGCATGAAGCCACTTCTGCACTTGCGCTTATGATTTTAGTGAGAAGTGGTCAGGGAGGGGTCAAGAAGGCTCCAGCTGCTGCAGCGAAACCGAGACTTGAAGGCAGGACTGCTGGGATGAGGTGCTGGGAGAGGTACTGGGAACCCCCAGCTCAGACAGAATGTGAGTGGCCTTGGGGTTGGTGGTGAGGACTTTCTGTGGTCTCCTCTGTCTGCTTCTGTTTTACCACAGAAAGAACCTTCAAGTCTGAGATAGAAACAGTCAGAAAACCAGTGACTGAGCTGAAGTGGTCTCACATGTTGTTGTTGAGGCAGAGTTGGGCAAGAGACCTCCTTCATTTTCCTTTCTTTTTTTAACTTTAAAAATCTGGAGCTGGTGAGTTCGGTTCCTGGTACGGAGAAAAACCAAAAAAAAAAAAAAAAAAAAAAAATCTGGGCATGGTGGCACATGCCTATAATCCCAGTACTTGGGAGACTGAGGCAGGAGGATCGTTGCAAGTTTGAGACCAGCCTGGACGGTGAGCTCAAGGACAGCCTGAACTGCATAGTGAGACCTTGTCTCAGAAAAACAAAACAAAACAAAAAATCAGCTTCATAGCCAGGCTTGGTGGTACATGCCTGTAATTCCAGCACTCAGGAGGCTGAGGCTGAAGGGTCACGAGTTTGAGGCCTGCCTTGGCTGCATGATTGAGTTCAAGGACAGCCTGAACTGCCTATTGAGACCCTGTCACCAAAACACCAAAACCCAAACAACCCAAAAAACTTCATTAAGGTTGGGCGGTGTAAGGTAGAGACACCCGGTAGATTTTGACAACGTTGCCCGTGTATGAAACAGCCCCCCACCACAAGTTGTGCAGGTGCCCTGCTCTTCAGAGTGACCTCTGCACAGCATGACTGGATGGCTGTCCTTGTGAGGGATGTTAGGAGAACAAAAGGAGGCAGAGGCCCGAGCCTACAGGACCGGTGTACTGCAGAACCAGCCTGAGAGGAACTGCTGTGGCACTGAGGCCAGATGGGCGCTCTGTACAGGCGATGGGGGTCCTCTGTGAGGTCACTGGGGGGGGCATTCAGGGAGGGGCTGTGGCTCCTCGGCAAGAGCAAGGCTTGCAAGAGTGCAGTGGCAGTGACTGCCGGAGGACAAGGCTGGGGACGTGCAGGAGTGGTGGCCCCTGCCCCACAGCAGGGCTGACCATGTCGGAGTCCCCAGGTGGAGCTGCGCTGGGAGGGGCGGTTTCCAGGGGTCTCGGACCAGGATGGTGGTGGGCAGACTCCTTCAGGGCAGTTTTCCATGTCACAGAAGTCCACGTAGATGGCTGGGGGTTTTTGTTTGTTTGTTTTGTGTTTTGTTTTTTTGAGACAAGGGTCTTGCTATGCAGTTCAGGCTGGCCTTGAGCTCACTATGTATCCCAGGCTGGTCTCGAACTCTTGGGCTATCCTTTGGCCTCATCCTCCCGGGTGCAGGGATGATAGGCCTGTGCCACCATGCCCGGCTGGCTAATGATTTCAAGGACTGAAGGACAGTGGGGCTGTCCCTGCACACCCACACCGACACTGCCGTCGGTGTCCTCTCTGCTCCTAGCTGGCCCTGGTCCCCCTCTGGTTTCCTCCTCTTGGTCTAAAGCAGTTTTGAAGATCAGTTTCTTCAGCATTTGGCTGAAATGCCGTTACTTTGCCTTCATCTAGGACTGTAGTTTCACTGAATAGAGAATTTGCTACATTTTCAATCAACAAACTCCAGTTTCTGCTGACTAAGGAAGAACGGCATGGTGTGTCTGCACCACCTCCATGGACGGCTGTGCTGTAAGCAGCTCTGTCCACTGAACTCCAAGCTGCCCAGAGGAACCAGACTCGCTCCAGCTGAAAGAGAATTTAAGGAATTTGCCCAGGAGCTCAGCCCTGATAGAGCTAGGCTGTGCTCTGGATCTTCCAGGTTTAGAGTCCAGCCTGGCCAGAGTGGACACCTCTCTCCACTGACCCTGACCCTAAAAGCCCTGGCTACACTGGGGAAGAGGGCACCCTGACAAGGGCCCACGTCACGCCTGTGGGTGTCACCCCTGCTGAGCAACTTTCATCCAATCACTACGGGGACCCTAGGCGCACTTCAATTCCTCCCTTCCTTTGCCCATATGGGCATCCGTCTGCTCTGCACAGTGTGCAGCTGTCCCAGGCACATGACACACACGTGCACATACCCACCACATATACAGCACACACAGCACACACATGCATGCCCCACACAGTGAAAGGTACAGTACCACGAATACCCTCAACATTCTCCGTCTTACTTCGAATATGTACCCCCTGGTTCTGCAGCTGCCCTGGAGTCCTCTCCTGACTACCTTTACAAGATGTGATCAAAAATACAGTGACTTCTGCTGCAGAGCGCCACCCAATGGAAAGGCAGCTCGTGAAAATACGATGCTGTGTCCTCATCCTCCTTAGTCACTGGATCTGGCACCATTTGATCTCTGGCTCTTCCCAAAGTCAAAATGACCATGACAGGGAAATGTGTTCCATGCATTCAGGACACCAAGGCAGGGAAGACAGTGCAGGACTGAACAGCCTCTGAACTGTGAAGAGAATGAGGGTGAGCCTAGAATTCCTAAACAGCTGGGCTCTTAGGCACTGCAAAACAAAACAGGGAAGGATTAAGAAAATGTCTGTGTGCAAAATGTCTTCGTGAGTGTTATCAAAGGACCTGTTTTAGTAAAACAAATCACGAGAACAAGAAGGCTGAGATCCACAAGAGTGAGCCTGTGCAGTCATTCGTGAGGATAAAATCACGCAGAAGAGAGCTGACCTGTGCCAGGGACTGGGCGGTGTGCGGTCCTCATGGTGAGGACAGGGACTCAGGGGTGGCTGGGCCTTTCACCTTCTTCCTTAGCAACATAATTACTCACAGACACACCCATTCTTCTGAGGCACTGTGGAACAGCAGGAAAGCCTCATGCTGACCGCTGGTCCTGGCTGCTGGGACTCCATCCACAGGGACACCCGTCACTGTGTTCCAGGTCACCACACACCAGCAGTGGCCACACGGGGACCAGGTCACACTGTGGCGTGTCTTTCTGTTCTCACGTAATGCAGCATCTCAACATTCTCTGCCCTGGAATGCAGGTCACACTGTGCTGTTACTTTTCCCAAATGTGTGGATGTGAGGGATACTGTGCTGCCTGTCAGGACAGATGTCCCTCCCCATGAGGAAGATGCCACGGAGGACATTGCCTGGCCCAAGGAGGGAGCGCTCTAAGGCCCATCTATCCCGTTTTTCATCCCTGGTCCCACAGCACTGCTCCATGGCGCCTCCACCCAGGGGCCACATGCCTGATGCCCACCCTGTGGCCTCTCTTGACCACTGGCCTCTGTGACTCTGCTCTGCCATCTGTCATCCCCCAGGGCTCCTGACAAAAGCTGGTCTCCAGGGGTGTCCCAGGTGGGGAGCCTGCCCACCCTTCTCCCCAGGGGCCAGGGCAGGGTAGGGCTGTTGTCACCTTCCAAACTCATCCCTCTGATGGCAGTGACAAGCCCTCTTCTCCCCTGGTCCAGATCCTCCACACCAGGCCGAGAAAAGGCCAGGGTCTCCCCTCTACCATGTCTGTCCCAGCCACAATGATGCCCACCCAAAGGTGGAACCTTCCCCTGCACATATTGGCCCATTCAGACTGACTCTCCTGACGGCAGCTTCTCCCTCCCTCCAGGCAGTGGCCGCATCCCTCCGACCACCCAGGACTCTTCAGCCTACCCAGCTCCTCTGGTGCACCCTTCCCTCACACCAGGGTAGACTTCCGTGTTGTCACAGCCAGAGCTCCCTGTCCACCTTCAGCAGCCTCCTCTTGGCTGACCGTGTGGCCACACTCATCCCACTGAGCCCCCTGGCCTGCTCTGAAGCCTGGGAAGAGCTCACAGCAACCTGGCCAGTGGCTAGACTTCTCCTCCAGAACTGGAACAGTGCTGCATAAATTGCTTCCCTGTTATTTTTAGCTCTAACGTCTCAGGTTTTAACCTTTCCTCCATGTGGACTTTAGATGTCGGGAGAACTGGGGTGAGCTCAGCTGTAGGGCCTGTGCTTAGGAAGGCCTGGTTCCATCCCCTGCATCACAAAAACACAAACCTAGCTGCAAGTGTCCATCTTTTCTTTTTGGTACTGGGAAATGAACTCAGGGCCTGCACTTACTGGGCAGGTGCTATGCTGCTGAGCTATATCCCTGGTCCCAATTTTTTTTTTTTTAATGGAATTTAATCCAACAGATTAGTGGGAAAACACTAAGAATAAAAAAATCATTTCTAGCTGGACGTGGTGGCACCCTCCTAGCACTCTGAGAGGCTGAGGCAGGGGGATTGCTAATTCAAGCCTAGCATGGGCAATTCAGCAAAATCTTATCTCAAAATAAAAAATACAAAAAGGTGCCTGCAGTGCTGCTCTGAGCTAGGCCCTGGGTTTGAATCCCTGTACTATAAAACACTAAGAACAATACAAAAGCAACACAATCTGTATTCTGCAGTTCCCCACTTCCCTGACTTTTATGCTAACTGCCTGGGACTTTCTGTAGTATAGAAGAGGGAGCAGCCTTTGCCACCCCGCGCCTGGCGCTGGTCCCCTGCCCAGCCTGGGCCCGCCGTCCCCACAGCCCCTGGCTGCCCTGCAGACAGCCTGGCTGTTTCCACCCAAGGTGCTTCCACGTTGTCAGGTGCTGTACAGAGAAGGGGACCAGGGTTCACCTGCCCTGGGTTCGTACGTGTACCTGAACAACCTTCAAGTGCTTTTCACGCAGACATTTCCCTGTTTGCTTGTAGATATTTTATCCCTTTTTGTTACTGCAACCATGCTCTTCCACTGTAGTGTTTAGGGAAAAGGTGCTGACTTTTCTGTTAATTTTGTCATAACTTCATTCTTTAAAACATTTTCTGGGTACACAATTATCTAATCTGCAATTTCACCTACTTTCCAACTTAAGTGTCTCTTCCACTGCTTCCTCTGCACTGTCAGACTCACCACATGAAGCGTTAATAGAATACTGTGGGACGCTGCTGGGAGCACAGCGGGGACAGCGGCACGCGCAGCCCTGGCTCCTCACCACAGCACCCACTGTCTGCCACCTGGGCAGTGTGCGGAGAGGGGACCCAGGCAGAAAGGGCCCTAGAGAGGCGATGGTCATTTCCCTGCTTCTGCCTTCTTCGTCTGGTGCACTGGTAATTACCGTTGCTGAGGAGTTATGAGGAATATATAGCTTGCATACCAAAAAGTTTTATTAATGTAATTTTAAGGCCAATTTAACTAGTTTTATTCAAAGTAAGTCTATATTAAATTACAACATGAATCTCTAGACACAATGAACTTAAAATATAAGAAATAGAAATCTATTTGGTCTTTTATAGACCACATATCATAGAACTCATAAATGAAAGTTTACAAATATAGAAATGATGATACTTAAAGAGTAAGGATTTTCATATGGGACCCAAAAGATACTGTACTTTGAACATGCATGTTTCAAAAAGGGAGAATTGTTTAATAATTTAGCATAAAATCAAATTATATAAACTTGGTATATTCCAGAAAATATTGCTTTAAACACTTATACCATGATCAAAATTCCTTTGGTAGCTTTTCATCAAAGTGAAACATGCCATTTTGCAAAATATAAAGTACTTTTAAATGTCACCACAAAAGCATCTTTGTCATTGTTACCATCCTACCATCACTAGTGAACTTCTGCTTCCTGCCCAACCTCCCTGGATAGGTGCACAGCCTGTAATGAGCACCAATGAGACCCTTTAGTGCTCTACCCAGTAACCTGCGGGCACTGTCAGGTGCCGAGGCTGCATGCCTCCTGGGAAACCCCACTCCGGGCATCATAGGCAGAGCAAGAACGGTCCCTGCGCAGGACTAGGAAACCAAACCAGACTTTATTGTGGCAAGCACACAAATACTGCAGTTAAAAATCAAAGGCAGTGACCCCAAGCCAAAACAGGGATTGCCTGACTCAATCTCAGCATGGAGACCCAGACACACCAATCCCACCCGTCCACAGACACACACAGGAGACTCGGCTGAGCGGACCGTGCTGGGCGCGGCCAGGCAATGGGCCCTGCGGCAAGCGCAGCAGGCACAGGTCCTCTTGGCACATCAGGGGTCTCACCCAGAAACCTGATTTACAGAACACCAGTTAGCAAAGTGGAAACTTTCTGAGGAAACAGGAAGCGGAGAGGCCAGGGCTTCCGTTGTGAATTGTCAGCAGTGTGGGTGCCAGCTCCTGCCCCTGCCCATCCTCAGGACGCAGCACTGAGGGTCTCTGCGTCACGCACCCATGATCTCACGCCAAGACATACCACACGCGCGCAGCTGCCTGCCATGGGGCCAGACCTGGGAAGGAACTCTGCTAACTGATGTCTTCATGTCCAGCCTTGAAGTCGTTCTGTACAGAGCAACAGAAACAATTTAAATGCCTAAAAGAACTAGAGGAAGAACTGGAGGGGGAAAGATACATGTGGCATCCGAAAATCCTTGAGCGCAGGAAGGACGACCCAAGAATCATGTCCTTGCCATCCAGTCCGAGTGCCCGCCGCGGCCGTCACGGGCCCGGTGGCTTGGTGGCCCCATGGTGCTGCCCGCCGGTGCTCCTCGTCTGCTTCCCAGAGACAGCAGGCCCGGCCATCACGCCACGTAGTGGTACTGATTGGGACTGTCCTTGTCTCGCTCCATATAGTCTCTGTCTATGAGGGACTCTATTCTCTTTTTCAAATCACCAGGCTAGAAGAGATAAAACTTGTTATAGGCACACTAAACTGATAAACACGGTGACCACATCACACAGGAAACACGTCACTGTGGAGACACCACACACCACTCTACACCAATTTACACATGTATCGTGGGTAATTACAAAGTGGACAGAAAGCTGCCCTCAGGACAGCACGGCCCAGTAACAACCCAGTGCTTCCAGAGCTTCCGGTCTGAGTCTGCTTCCCCTGGCTCACACACACAGTACCCCCTACACAGGGCACAAGCCAGGCAGACCCTGCCAGAGATGTGTTTTCACATGTGTGGCAGGGAAACCTGTCCATCTCCTTAGATGTGGTCCTTTACCACTACACGTGGGCACATGTGCTGTGTGTGTCCATGCAGTGTAACCATGGATTCGCAGTGCTCCTCTGCTACAGCAGCTGACAATCTTGCCATGGCCCTAAGGTGACTGTGCCCGGGAAATTCTCCACCCAGCTCTGCTCTGCATTCCAGACAGCAAACCCTTCTATTCAGTGACAGGCCCTACTCTGTAGGAGACGTGGCTGGAAACCTAGTTACCTAAAAGTGGACCTACAGACGCTGGCCAGCCATCCTCCATCCTCTCACTCCCCTGCTGGGGTCTTCATCTGCAAAGGGAAACCCCAGGCCCTGGCTTGCGGTGTGCACCCATCGTCCTGGAGGGCTCCTACCGACCTCTGAAGTGCTAACCAGTCCATCTCAACAGGTGCCCACAACAGGCCTCTCCCTGAGCAGCACTGGCTGAGCCAGCTGCAGGGGGCTTGACGGTGCGCCCCAGGACGCACTGCCCCACGGCCCCCTTCAGCTTGTCCTGCACATACGGAAGAGCAACGCTACCGAACAGCGTTCAGCTGCACCTCAGGCAGACTTCTGTGTGCTGGAGCACAATGGAACACTGCCCCGCTGGAGACTGCCGCGGGATGTGGCCATCACTGCTCCCGTGAGATCTGAGGAGCTCCCCAACTGGTGGCTGAGGCCCGAGAAGGCAGGCGAGTGCCTGGACGCGAGGACAGTGATGGCCCAGCGCCTCCCTGCCGCCTCTTCCATCCCACACAGCTGTGCATCACGGATCAGGATGTGTACCTTCACTGGAAACTTGAGCTGGTTGTACAGCTCGGAGACCAGCAGATTGTGGCCCAATGTCTTTCTCATCTTCATTATTCTCACGATGGCAGCGTCAATCTGGTACTGTCTGTCCTGAAATACCCGCTCTGTGGTGCTGACCTGCTCTTCCACCTGCACGTGAAGGAAACAGGTGTGAGACGTGTCTCTAACAGGGCCTCTCCATGCTCTCGAGTCTGACGGGAGACACTGTCTTTCTCTGTTTCTTGAGACAAGGTCTCGCTATATAGTCCAGGCTGCCTTGAACTCACTATGTAGCCCAAGGGGAGCCAGACTCATGGTTGTCCTCCTGCCTCAGCCTCCCAAGTGCTGGGATTACAGGTGTGCACCACCATGTCCAGTGAGACTCAATCTTGAAGTAAACAACGGCCAGATCAAGAAGCCTGTTTTGTTCATTTTCTTTGTTCTAGGAAAGCTGAGTTTCTCAGAATAGCAAATTCTAAAACCAAAATTGAAAAACTAACATTAGAAGTTTCGTTTTCTTTAAGAACTCTGCAAGAATGCTGGTCAGATATCAGAATATTAAATCCAACAGCAAGTCAGGGTCAGGGCTTGTTCTCGAAATGAGCTCTGCCCACTGTGACGGCCCCCAGGGAGCAGCTGCTACAGGCTGCACGGCCCCCAACACATGCATGAAGGCTGCAAGCTGATTCTTCATTTAAAACAGGCTTTGTGTACATGGGATCATTTTAAAAGAGAAGAACCTGAAGGTAAGGAGTAGCTATTTGAAACACACAGTGCCGAAAGCAACTTCACCTTCTTACGGAGCAAACTGCGGAGGCACGCAGGTGACAGGCCCCAGGTGAGGCCAGAGGCCACCTGTGGTGAGGGCGTTTCAGGAAGGGACTTGTTCAAGCTTGTGCCATATTGTCAGCAGGACACATCACCCAAGCAAGGTTAGTATTCTCTGTCCTCAGATAGCACGAGGATGAGGAGAAAACCTAGCTGCACTGCTCTTTCTTAAAGCCTTTTCAACGTTCCTGCTATGCAAGTGGAACAAACTGAAGTACCACTGGAAAATAGCAGGCAAAGGATCATCATTTGCAGACAAGCTGCAGGATTTAAGAAAATCAATTGAAAAACCATGACCGCTGATGAGAATTGTGAATAGCAGCTGGAAGTAAGCACACAGAGGTGAACAGCAGCAGCATATACTGTACAAGGGTGTGATAACGGCCAGTCACAGGAACAAAGGAGAAGGGCCTCCTAGCTATGTCGGCACCACACCACCCCTGCCCAACACTATGGTGGCTGCCACACACTCCCATGAGCTCTGCTGCGCTGGCTGGCCCTCGGCTTCATGGACTCAGCTGTCTCTGGTGCCTGTGGTGGCCGCCAGTCTGTGCGTGCCAGCCGGGCCTGCGGCTCCCAGAAGCAGGGTGGCCCCAGGCGTGCGCAGCGAGCCTTTGCTGGGCCCGTGAGCATTTACAGCATCTAGTAAGATGGGATGGAGACTATCGGCCTTTTGAACGTTTCCCCAGCTGACATGAACATTTGCTCACTGGGGAGCACTCAGGGCTGGGCATGCTGGACAAGTGCTGCAGCCCTGAGCTGCCCCCGCCCAGAATGACTTTCCCGTCAAAGCCCAGTGGATGGTAGTGAGCATCTGTGTGTGGGACCTGCCTGGAGAGTTCCTCTGCCCGCTCACCGTGGGCCTCTCTGCAGGTGCAGAGGGCCTGGTGACATCACCTGTTGTTAATGCTTTCTGCTATCCCCTGCGCCAACCCCACCATGCCACAAGCCCTGTCTAATGTGGCCTTTACAGGGACCCGCTGCAACTGGGCTTGGGCGTTGGTGCTGAGTCAGGGAGGGTCTGCTCCCCACTGCTTGAGCCACTGCCTCTGTCACAGTGACACAGACACTGCTGAGGCCCAAGACATCCCGGCCCAGTCACAGACCCTGCACTTGTCTGTCCAGGACCTGGCCTGTGGGGCAGCTCATGGGAGCCAGGCACCAGGGCCGCCGTGCTACAACTCAAAATGGAACCTGTGGACCCAATGCATACTGTGTGAACTGGGTAACGACAAGCTGATTTCCTGCTGTTGTTCATTCCACTGAGTACTGTTAATAAAAATGCTCAGTCTTATCAACATCATGTATTCCAATTACATTTAGAAACATGCTTTGTAATTCTACCAGTCAGTACATCACTATAAAGCTACTATGATCTCTTGGTGAACACCCGAAACCACAGAAGTGGAAGGAGAAAGGGTGTACATACGGTTTCCTTCATCTGAATCTGGTTGATCTTTATCCTAAATAACTTGTGTTTGAAATCGCCATTAAAGATGAATTTGTCTCCATCTTCTACCTCCTTCCCTTTGGGGCTCTTAATCAGAACACGTGCTTTCCCACAGGCCAGTGACTGCAGTGTCCGTCTCAGCTCACTGTCCTCTGTATAGGAAGAAATGCACGCTGCCATCAGGCACCAGGGCTAGAACCTGAGGACCGAAGCCAGGCCCCACCCGTGCCATGCTGAGCCTGCACATGGCCCTCCCCTGTCCAAGAGCTGCCTACCTATCCCTGTGGCCATTCTGATGTCCTCGAGGCTGAAGCCGTCTCCCTCATTGAACATGAGCAGCACCAGCGTCTGGAAGAGGGACACCTGGATCTCCTTCTTCCCCTGCAAGACAGCAGCCGTCGCAAGGACCTGCACTCAGACACTTTCAGGAGGATTACAAAAGGCTTTGTTTTGCAGTCACACATCTTGGGAGGGGTGAAGACCTCACCAAAAGTCACCCAGTAAGAAGAAATTATGTGTTGACTATAAAAGAATAAAACAGATCTTACGTATTAACTTAAAAATTCTCTCTCTCTTGCTCTCTCTCTCTCTCTCTCTCTGTCTTTTTGCAAGACAGGGTCTCACGACGTAGTCTGGGCTAGTACTGAACTCACACCTGGCTAAAAATTATTTTTTTGAAACTTTTTTTAGTAGTAAAGTTCTTTCAGTTGGGCATTGTGGTGCACATCCATAATCCCTGCTACTCAGGAGGCTGAGGCAGGAAGATTTAAAATTTGTGCCTAGCCTGGGCACTTGGCAATACTTGTCTCAAAATAAAAATTTACAATAAGGGTTGGGGGGCAGAGCTCAGTGGTAGAAGGCTTGCATAGTATGTGTGAGGCTGTGAGGGGAGGAGAGGGGAAGGGAGGGGAA